ATTCGACTCAAAGCACACAAAGAGCGTTTTCTAACTAACACAGTGTAGTAAATGATATGTGTCTTCAATTTCATGCAGGCACTGTAAAAAGCAATAAAAATGAGAATGCGAAGGTTGCTGTATCGGGGATTGGAATTTCCTTTAAAACGCTCTGGAATAGGACTAAGAAGGACAACTCTCATTCATTTGCCGACTGCCTGATCAACCATCCCCATATACCATATGCAATGGCTCATACGAATCCAAAAAAAGAGGGGTTCAAATGCCCAAACCAGTTTTCTAATATACATAAACTACAAAGTTGAAAAACTAAACTTAAGTTGATTTTGTCCCCTCTATGATAGACTGTGGAAAACAATTTAACCTTGGAGTTGGGGGGGGGGACCAAACATTTTCAGTTCCGGGGGATGTTACTACCACCAAAAATTCAGACGGTTCCCGTTCCCGCCCCCAATCTACATTTTCAGATCCGCGGGAGGTTACTACCACCAAAAATTCACACGGCTTCTGTTGCGCCCCCCCCCCCCAAAGGGAGAGGGAAGGTATAATGTGATCGGGATGTCCGCCCGTCCGTCCGTTTGTTACGCTTTAGAGTACCTACCGCCTATCCGCAGCTCCTCTTATACCATTGAATGAAATATATTGAGACTTTCACAGAATCTTTATAAACCAACTTTTATTCGCGTGCGAGAAATGTCCGCAAGTTCCAGGACTCTAATTTGCGAATATTAATCGCCGCGAACCATTCATTTTCCTCAAGTATTTGTAGAAAACGAGTCGCAAAAAATTAATATAAATCAAGGTTTGATTTCAAATTGACGATTCGCGAATAAAAGATGACGCGAATAATAGTTGGTTTACAGTAGTGCCTTTGTGCACTGTTACAACGCACTTTGAAAAAATTATGATTTTTTTTTTCAAAGTGCGTTGATATCGACCATATTAACGCACTTTGAAAAAAAAGGTGAAGATTAATCAATATTCTAACAAATAATCGGTATGATAAATAACAGATCCTGGTTGGATAACTTTTTAGCTCACCTGAGCCAAAGGCTCAAATTGACAAGCTTTTCTTGATCACATTGTCCGTTTCCGTCGTCTGTCCGTCTGTCTGTCCGTCTGTAAACTTTTCACATTTTCGACTTCTTCTCAAGAACCACTGGGCCAATTTTGACCAAACTTTGTACAAAGCATCCTTGGGTAAAGGGGAATTTAAATTGTTAAAATGAAGGAACATATCCCCTCGCAAGGGGAGATAATCAAGAAAAGACAAAAATAGGATGGGGTCATTAAAAAATCTTCTTCTCAAGAACCACTGGGCCAGTAAAGCTGAAACTTATGTGGAAGCATCCTGGTATAGTGTACAAAATCATGACCCCCGGGGGAAGGGCGGGGCCACAATGGGGAATCAAAGTTTTACATAGAAATATATAGGAAAAATCTTTGAAAATCTTTTTCTCAAGAACCACTGGGCCAGAAAAGCTGAAACTTATGTGGAAGCATCCTGGTATAATGTAGAATCTAAATTGTTCAAATAATGACCCCCGGGGGATGGGTGGGGCCACAATGGGGAATCAAAGTTTTACATAGAAATATATAGGAAAAATCTTTGAAAATCTTCTTCTCAAGAACCACTGGGCCAGAAAAGGTGAAACTTATGTGGAAGCATCCTGGTATAGTGTAGATTCCAAATTGTTCAATCATGACCCCCAGGGGAAGGGGGGGGCACAATGGGGTATCAAAGTTTTATATAGAAATATATAGGAAAAACTGAAAATCTTCTTCTCAAGAACCACTGGGCCAGAAAAGCTGAAACTTATGTGGAAGCATCCTGGTATAATGTAGATTCTAAATTGTTCAAATAATGACCCCCGGGGGATGGGTGGGGCCACAATGGGGAATCAAAGTTTTATGTAGAAATATATAGGAAAAATCTTTGAAAATCTTCTTCTCAAGAACCACTGGGCCAGAAAAGGTGAAACTTATGTGGAAGCATCCTGGTATAGTGTAGATTCCAAATTGTTCAATCATGACCCCCAGGGGAAGGGGGGGGCACAATGGGGTATCAAAGTTTTATATAGAAATATATAGGAAAAATCTTTGAAAATCTTCTTCTCAAGAACCACTGGGCCAGAAAAGCTGAAACTTATGTGGAAGCATCCTGATATAGTGTAGATTCTAAATTGTTCAAATAATGACACCCGGGGAAGGGCGGGGCCACAATGGGGAATCAAAGTTTTATATAGAAATATATAGGAAAAATCTTTGAAAATCTTCTTCTCAAGAACCACTGGGCCAGAAAAGCTGAAACTTATGTGGAAGCATTCTGGGGTAGTGTAAATTCTAAATTGTAGGAATCATGACCCCCGGGGGAAGGGCGGGACCATTATAGGGAATCAAAGTTTTACATAGAAATATATAGGAAAAATCTTTGAAAATCTTCTTCTCAGGAACCACTGGGCCAAAAAAGCTGAAACATATGTGCCAATGGAAGGATCATGGGGTAGTGTAGATTTCAAAATGTCTAAATTATGATCAGTGGGGTAATGTGGGGATGCATTATGTATAACAAGGGTGAAATCTGGTAAAGAACAGAATGGTCAAAGCTTCTCAGGTGAGCGATGTGGCCCATGGGCCTCTTGTTTATGATAAAGTCACTTCAGGACCTGAGATATCGACGTTTTAAATATTTGAGGTTTTGATAAAATAAAAGGGAAAAGGGTCTTGAAAAAAAGAGTGACGATTGTTTAAGATCATTAATTCGTTTCTTTTTTTTTAAATTCTAGTATTTCATACATGTAAGTAGATGTAAATGTGTAAAGGGGGCACTAACAGTGGACAGCTTTAAAGCCCGAGATAATAAGCACCGCCCTCAGATTTACCTGGTTAGCATTTATCATAATAAAAAGGGGGCCATTTGATTGTTCAAAACTATGAAAATTCTTTCTCTCTCATACGTTTTACTGTACATAAAAATTTCTAGCTTTCATCTGTTTTAATTAACTCATTTAATATTGAAAGTTTTCAACGTCATACCAGTAAGGTACATACATAATTATACATGTATAAATGTTTCGAGTATAGGATAGACATCGAGACCGGGCGAAGGGTCAGGGGAGGGGGGAAGGGCTAAGCACTCCACTTATTTTGGAAAGATATATATCGTATTAGCATTGAAAATGCAGTTTACCCTTTTTGGGTTTATTGCTCCCCTCCCCCGTTTGTTACCGACGCCTATGTATTGGAAAGATAAAGATTTGGATTGAATCGCTTCTCCTCTTTTCGCGAAATCAATTCACATTTTTTTTGAAAGATAAATAACAAATAAAATCTTTCCATTACTAAAATATGATTTTTTTTTCAAAGTGCGTTAAATGATAAAATATATTGATGTAGACTCTTAACGCACTTTGATTTTTTTTTCAAAGTGCGTTGAAATTTATACAAATTTTAACGCACTTTGAAAATTTTTTTCAAAGTGCGTAATTTTTTCAAAGTGCGTTGCCACAGTGCACCTCCTATTTTACTTGTTTCGGGTTTCCCATAGCAAAACATGGATACTGCCATTCTTTCTATGATATTGAAGGGTACATGTACCCATCTCTTATCCGCAATTCCTTATAACTACTGCATAAAATTTAATGATACGTTTACAGATTCTTTATAACTTAATGCCATCGTGCACCTCCTATTTTACTGTTTGATCTGACACTTAATATAGCTTATTACGATTCTTCCAGAGCAAAACATGAACTTTGCCATTATAATCAGATGACATCGGGATATCATATAGTGAGCTCAGTGTTTACAGTACCTCAATTTGGTTTTTTTTTTTGGGGGGGGGGGGGGGGGGATCAAGAAATTTCGGCCCCATCCCCATCCCCTAAAACTGATATTGCTTCCTTGCGGATCTGATTTACCGGTATATCAAATTAGAATAGAATATCAGAAATTAAGATGCTGTTGAATTGAAAGGGAGTAGAGGTTAGAACTATTTGATTGTTGGATCCCCGCCCATAAATCTGAAAGTAATAATTTCGAAGAAATAATTTCTAAGGAGACTTCATGTTCATACATGTTATCAAACAGAGCATGAAGAAATCTGAAATTAATAAACAAATAACTTGTGCATATGGTAAAGTACAGTTTATATATATACATGTAGATAATTTTTTTATAGAAGCTTACAAAGACTAAACTGTATAGCCGGAGGGGGTAAACGGCTAACATGACAAGATGGTAATAAATACATGCACTGCATTGTACCGTAATAAATTACTCTAATGGCAAACTTTATGTGGCAAGGAGAGATTCTACATTTGAGAACTCCTTTCCGTATTAAATGTTACAAATCATCGATTTTTAAAAAGTTTTATGATTTTTCATTGTGGACATACATGTATGAAGGGAAGGGCTTGTTTTTTTGTTTGTTTGTTTGTTTTTTTTCAGAGTGTGCACAAAAAGTGCATGTAATAGATCTAGCATTAGAAATGTTATTTGATATGTGTATATAAAAGAGTGCACGCAAGTACAATTTACCTGTGCATGTACGTGGTAATTATGCAAAAGGAACCTGACGTCATATTATTTTATGTCTAAAAATAAATAAGTTAATTAATTAATATTCCTATGCCTAACAAATTAGGTGCTTAAATAGGTTAAGTTTATTAAGGAAACCTAACTGTCAAGCGTGTTTAGAAAAAAATATATAGTCTGTGAATGTATTCGGCAAAATAGCACTTCCATATTTGGATATTTTAAATACAGAATCAATTAAAATGGAGAAATTTGTAGCCTCTCTATATATTTATTAAGACTGATATTCAATCATGTTAAATCGATTTATAATGGTTGACAGAAACAGACATCTTGGCATCAATTCTATTTCATCATGCATTCCGCTATAGCTTTTCCAATATTGATTTCAGCACGGTTTTGTCCGTAGAGTCCTTCCTACACAAATTATTGATTTTTTTCTTCAGTACAGCATTAATTATTCCTCCATCTTGTTTAAGGCCTTTCTCTTAGTAAAAACAAATCCTCCTCGGTGACAAAAACATAACCTAATTGACAATGTGATCCTAGCGCTGACGTATAATTTACCAGACGATAAGAAACAATCATGGCCGCGGCCATTGTTGGATGTTTGGCTGTGGCCAATATTTTGGTTTTATCTGTTTATGGACGAGCTACAAAATATGGAAAAATTGACGTAGCTGATCTGCCAAGATTATTTGATGTAAGTTAACATATTTTAAATATATTTTTCCATTTGAAGAGTTTGTTTAATAAATATAAATTCATGTTAACATGAATCTTATCTTGTTATGTTATATTTCGTGTGTGGAATTTTGAGGGATTGAAAGAGTGACTGACTAAAATAGTATAAACATGTAAATGTAGACCGAATACATTAACATATACATAGAATTTATTTTTTATCTGCCTTTGATCTACTTTTATTATACAGTTATTTCCTGTTTCAAGTTTCAAATAATATGAAAATGTACAAATAGATCAATATGTGTGCCGTATCAATTACTAAGTATTCAACTACAGCGTATGATCTCTTTAGTCAATACTTGGGGCCTTACGTCAATAATTTCAAACAGTACATGTAACAGGTTGAATTAAAAGTTTTCTGAAAATGTCTTTTGTTTTATGTACATGTAATTATTTTAAGATTTTGTTCTTAACTTTATTTTTAAAATCGATATGTCGATAGTGGACAATTCCTGCCTGTTGTCTCGTACGTGATAGGGTTTTTAATGCATTAGATATGAAATAGATAAATTTGAAATTTAATGAGATTCTCCAAAAAAATTCTGACATTTAAAATATTTTAAAATCATTTTCAAAATATATAATGGAGTCTAGGAAAATTGATTTATTACATTAAATTCATGCAAAATAATACTTGAATTTCATGGCTGAAAGAGTTGTTTTTAGGTTAGACCCTCTATATTCACTATTACTCACTGACGTGTTAATCAAGATCAATTTCGTTACATTACAAGGGTTGATCCAAAAGTAATTTCACAGCTTCAGTAAAATTGCCACAAGTTGATGTAAAACACAAAATTATAAAATGATGGAGGCTAAATTTATTTCAAATCACAACTGAAAATTTCAATTCAATATGATTAAAATACCGGATTACATGTATATACATATAAATGAAAGTTTAAATTTGAATCAGATGTATATATGTGCAGCTTTTCGTTTATTATATTTGATAATATGACGCCAAATATAAAAGATATGAAAACTGTGACATTACTTTTGGATCACCCCCCTTATTAACTGAATTCAGATATTATCAATTTTATATGCAAATGGTAATGTAATATATAGACACACAATTCTTTTTAAGTGTATTTTTTAAGAAAATATTTATCGATTTTTTTTTTATCAGTCGTTATGTAGGTATACAGCTTGGCTTTCGGCTTACCCCCCCCCCCCCCACACACACACGTTTCTTTAAGTAAGGAATAATGACTTTTTTTTATTTATATTTGTTTGTGAACATTTTACCTTTATATAAAGTAAAATAGAACTCAATATTTACAACTTGATATAAGTTATACTTTTCTCAGTGTTTGTATTAAAAAACAAAAATACCATCTTTCTCCAAATGTTGCGGTTTGCTAATGAACCCGACTTTCAGTAGGTTAAGAAATGAGATGATTTATAGTAGAACTTTACACGGGTTGGTACTCTGACCTTTGAAAAATGTCTTTCTTCTCATGGTAGTGAATTCTGAAGAGATCTAGTCTAACGACCTTAATTAAGAAAAGAAGATTTTCTTGCAATTTTAAAGAATTAAGTATTTAAATTATTTGTTCGCTTTGTGACAAAAAGAAAAGTGAAACTTATTTTACTAATGAAATTATTTTGTATAAAAATTAAGCTACAATCTGTTTTTACATTCCAAAATGCACGATCGTTTCTGAAAACCAAGATGACACTTTTCAAATCTACGTGATGTTACCCCAAGTATTACATTTTTACACAGGATGGTGCTTTATTTGATGAGATCTACGATCAAAGAAGTGTGTTTCCAGTACCGGAAATGGTCCCTCACTGGCCCGGACATGACGTCAAAGTGGGTCAAGTAGGCGGCGTAGCAGTTGACAGTAATAACGAAGTATTAATTTTTCACAGAGGAAGCAGACAATGGAATTACAAGTAAGAATAAAAGGATGCCAAATACGTCTATTTGTTTTAAACGGAGGTAATATAACATCTAATTCATACCTATTTGTCCAATCGCATCATCTCGGAACAGCTCTTTATTCGCTTCAACAATATACGATGATTTTGCACAATCTCAAGGTTGTTTTTTCGCTAGTGTTGGAAAGGCCATGCGAGAAATTGCGAATTAGAGTTGTTTATGTAACTTCTTTTTGCTAAAAATCAGGATTTATCTACCCCAATTAAAAAAAAAATCACATATAATTTTATACATCTTTGCAGTTCTTTCGACCTAAACAACAGATTTGTCGACCCTGAAGGACGTGGATCCATTAAAGAGAATACTTTGGTCAGAGTGGATTCCATCACAGGACATGGTATTGAGAGTTTTGGCGCCGGAAAGTAAGTTTGAGTACGATTCCAACTTTTGAATTTCACTAGATCTGTACGTATTTCGTACAAATGTATTTTTCAAAGATTTTTTAAAAATATTTTGTTGCTTTTTAAAGATTTTATATGCCTCATGGACTGACTATAGATAAAGAGGGAAATATCTGGGTCACAGATGTTGGTTTGCACCAGGTAAAATTTCTAAGTTTTCTCCGCCCGCTTTTTACTTCTTAAATTAAATTCACCAGAAAAATATTAGTTAGTGATTAAAATAATTTTTGTAGGTCATGAAAATTCCAAAAGGTTCCCAGGAACCAAATTTAACTCTAGGTGTTCGTCTTACACCCGGAAATGACGACACACACTTCTGTAAGCCCACCGATGTTGCCGTAGCTTCCAATGGCGACTTCTTTGTTTCAGATGGGTATGTTAGAAATAATTTTGTCAATTTAACGATTGGTGATTATATATTTTTTTTAATTATCAAGATAGCTATATTACTTTTTTCTCCTTTGACAGATATTGCAATGGTCGAATCATGAAGTTTAATAGAGAAGGGAAGTTGTTGCATCAGTGGGGTAGAATGTTTGAAGGTAAAAGGAAATACGTAATTCAAACTTAACAATAAAAAACTTATAAAAAGACAAACATGAAGTTTGACCTTTGATTCAAGCACAAAGAAAAACGGTGAAACGGTATTAAAAGAAAATATTTGAAGTATATACCATATTTATTTATTAGTTTGGAAAAGTTTTATATAGTATTCGAACCGTTTTGAACCATCAATAAAATTTCTTTCTTGTATTGTAAAAATGCTTTTGAATGTTCTTCATCATGAATGTTGAAACCTGCACAATCAAATGCACATGCATGTACATGTTTATTTTAAAAGTAATGTTAACATTTTAGGACCAGTAAGTTCTGCTGGAAACGAAGATTTCTTTATTCCACACAGCGTGACCCTTATAGAGTCACGTGACACGATCTGTGTGGCTGACAGAGAACATGGAAGGTAAAAATGGACAATTTTAATTTTCAGATTATATTCAAAGTAAGTCTTTGTATAAGTTATTTTCCTATAAGTATACTGCAATCATCTCATTGGTACATGTAGTAAGCATGGTCTACCTCCGTCGGTGGCTTCAGAACTGCTCTCTGGTAGAGAAAATTCGGACAGACAGAAAAGTCACTTAATTTTCTCAACTAGAGGTACGGTTCTGTATGTTTAAAGAAGAAGTGGGGAACTTTAAATTCTTTATTTTAAGGATTCAGTGTTTCTGTGCTGGTCTAAAGAATGCCAATGAGACGGGTCAGTTTGTATCCAGTATAAACCACAGAGAATTCGGAAAAGTATTCGCCATTTCCTATGATCCAAACTGTAAGTAGCTTAGAAAGTTTAATACCCAACCCCTTATCTATTACTCTTTATTATTGAAATAAATCATTTATTTTTTATTTGTGTCAACCTCTCATTTGGAAATTTTAGATTAGACATAAGGTTTAATTAACTTTGTTTATTTAAACAGTGGATGGTTATTCTGGTTTTTTTTTTAATACTAGATGATACTGTTTGTCTTATGTTAAGTATGTAGAATTACATGTAGTTTAATTTAAAGCAGTGCATTACGGAATTTTAATAATTTATTTTTTATTTGTGTCAAAAGATTGTGTGATTTATGCTGTAAATGAATTAATCTATAATGTAGTTTAATTTATTTACAACATAAATAATGCAAATAACGTTATTTTACAGTGGATGTGATCTATGCTGTAAATGGCCAAGACTACCGTGTCTCCGAAGTGGTCGGTTTCACTTTAGAACTCTCAGGAAATATTGTTGAAAAATGGTCCCCTGCAGGATTGGTAAACTTTTTTTCCCCTCAATTCTTGTCTTTTCAAAATCGATATTTTTTGTTCATTCTCATTAATTTCGAAAGACTTGGAGATTTACGAAATTTAATCGTAATTTTCCGGTCATTTCCGTGAAATATAGTTTTCGGTTACGGAAAGGGACCAGTGTGATCCGAATGATGCTATGACATTTTTATCACTCCCTATTGTAGGGTTTTCAGATGCCCCATGACGTAGCTGTCTCCCCCGATGGTTCCAGTATTTACGTGGGTGAGGTCACGCCTGACAGAATTACAAAGTTCAGAAGACTCTGATTCCAAAAACATCTTGTTATTTGTTTGAAAGAAACATCGTGTTACATATTCTTTTCAATGTTCAGTGTTGTTTTGTCAACGTTCATTACATCTAAAAATTGGCATGAAATGAACATGAATTTGAGAAATCGTCCACCGATATTCACCAAGTAAACACAAAAAATTCTATTATATGTGAACTGTATGTACATGTATATCCCGAATAACAAATGCTTTAGAGAAAAAAATGCTGTTCCATTAACCTTCCTTGAAAAGGGGGAAAAATTCAAAGGTTTAGGACCATGCAGGTTTAGGACCATGCAGTTTCATATCATTTGCAATTCGCAAAATATATTTCAATTGTAATGAACACATCTATACATGTGTTTTTAGCACCACGAAATATTCGAAAAGCATAATTGTTGCTTTACTGAATTCGGAGTGATATCGCCCATAATTCCTAAATGAAACAGCAACATTTACTTTTCCGTACCGATTTTGACCGTTTCCTCCATGGTTTAATGAATGGAAGAAAAGTCTGATGTCACGAATAAGGAATATTACTGTGAATTGTAAAGTTATTTTTTTTTTTGTGTTTGAGAAATCAACAATAAGTATAAAGCGGCTTTAAACTACTTAAAGTTTAATTAAACTGATTAGATGTTTTAAAATCATCTGCTGGAACAGTTTATATTGCCTTTCTCTATGATTATTCACTGTATTCAAAAGCTGTGAAACTAATTGTTGAATGTACAGGGTTTGTTACTTCATTAACCTTTTGTTGATGTATAATTGATATTAAAGAAGTATACATAATTAAGCAGCTGCAAAATCTAGTCAATGTTAAATATGGATTTTAGTTTGAAATAAAGGTCGTTGTTTTGTTGCATATTTTAATCGTTTTTAATCATCAGGTGTAATTATAAATGTAAATTTCTAACCGCAGTAATGCCAAAAAAAAACCCGGTATTTTCTTAGAATTGCACCTCCTAGATCACATAAGAAATGTAATAGTATGATAACGAAACTATAGTTAAAATCAAAATGGAGAATGGTTCAACTTTTATCATTCCTTGAAAATGATTTCTGAATATTTTAAATTCTCTTAAAACCATAGGTGCATCCACATGGATAAGAGTCTGATGGAAAGATGTCATTCTTAGGCAACAGCTCGTATACAAACACATTATCATCCTGTCCTAAATAATAAGGATTTCTGTATTTGTCTCATATTTACCTGGTGTCTGTTATTTTTTCCCCTTTCATATAAACAGGAAAATCTGAAATGTTTATGATTGCAAATGCTCATTTATGAACAGTCGAATACAATTAATTTTTCACACAGACATATCCAAATATTCCTTGCATTTTTAAAAGAATGATTTTTCAATTTTGCAGTTGATGCAAAACAAGTACTAGTCAGAATTTATTACACACAACAATTCCATAATAGAGCAATAAATATAGGAACGTATTATACATGCTTAGAAACAAATGTAGAACATTTGCAAACAAGGTGTTCGTGTTTTTAAAGAGAAACTGATGCACAATATGCATTAGAATCAAGTTTTTTGGCTCACCAGTAACTCAATTATTAGGTGCTAGTGTTTTTTCTTTGCCTTCAGACTCTTTAATGAGAGCATTATGGATTTTCATTGGCTCCTGTGTCACCTTAGCAAAGGATACGTTTTTTCCACCTCCTTTATTAGAGAGTTCTTTGGAAGCTGTAATTTCGACATTTTCTTTGTTCTCTTGTGGTTTGCAACTGTGTTGTTTAATGTTATGACAGCTGGGAGACGAGATGGTTTTGGGGGCTCCTCCAAATTTTCCATGTTTATTTTTCTTGTTTCCATGTGGTGACATTATTTGTTGCGGTGGCGTGCTTGACGTTGAGGGAGGGCGCTGAGGTAATTTTTCCGGTTGCATAGGAGCCACAGAAGCGATGGCGATTTTTTGAGCTGGTTTAGGACTTTCATCCACTGGTTTTGTTTGAGGTACTGGATCTGTTTTCTCCTTTGTCTTCGATATTGATGTATCAGTTTCTGTAATTTCAAACGATGGCTTCAACACCTGCACAAATTGAAAATCAAATTGTCCTAATGATTCTGCAAGAAAACAATAAAACGCAATTGTCATTGCCGTTAGCTTTAACCCTAAAGTCAGATTCCAGCAATACTGAGATCATTACATCTGCTATAATCATACTTACTGATTTATCAGTTTTATTACTGTCTGTTTTCTTCAAATCGGATGTTTTTTCACCCTGCTTTTCATCAAAGTTCTGAAATAAAAGACATTTTCATAAAGACGCGTCAATGGTCACAAGCATGTAGTAGTATTAAAAAATTGCAAAGTGTCCAATACAAACACCACTTTTTTGCAGTAAAGACTTTCTTTTAAAAACAGTCTCTATTAAGATACTCTTAAAATTGACGGACAGAATGGGCCAATAACACAAAATAATGCTAAGAATGTTGAATAATTGACAGAAGACTTCTCTGTATGGGAGGGTGGTCTTTTTGATGAACACCTACCTTGTTCAGGTCAGATTTGTCTTGGGGCATCTGTATTTTGCCCTCTGATATATCCTTGGTGGTTTTCTCCTTGAGCATCTTGAATCCCCCCTCTTTAGCAGTATCCACTTCCAGTTCCCCCTCTGACACCTCTTCCTCGGAGTCAATCGTCTCATCTGAACTGTCTTCGTCTGTGGGCTACAGAAAAAAAAGCATTGAGAGAAGGGGATTTCATGCTATCTCAATACATTAAAATTTTAAAGCTTCATCTTGCGTGTAAAATGTACTTGTATGCATCTCTTCTTCGTAAAAGAGGCTCCCTACAGGGTAATTACAATGGTAAATATATGTACCTCGTAATCTGGATCCTCCTCAGACAGGTAGTTATCCAGATCCAGATTGGCCAAGTCGTCCTCGGAATCGTCGGACATGTCCGGATGCTTCCTCTTCTTCTGTTCACAGGTCAGCAGAGAGCACTCGTTCAGTGATTCTGGAAACATTTACAGGTACATGTACATGTATTTCGAATAGGTATGTACTAAGTGTTATATCCTAGAAATGAAAGACAATTGAATGGGAAAAAACAAGAAATTGGGACGTCTTTGGCAATGTCAGCAAACCCAATGATTCCATCCAAATAGCTCATAAAAATGCCGTCACCATTAGAACTATATTTGTAGAAGACTAGATTGCCACACACTATAGCTACAGTTTGGGTTACAGTACATCTATGGAACCTGGGAGGACAAATTGTCTAGGGGACCTCCCTCCACATTTTTTTCTAAAAGATTATGCACCTTTTTGACTATCGTCTTTTGTTTCCATCCCTCATTTGAAAAAAAAAACGTGTCATATATGCCTGCATTCCACTTTCATATGCTTAAAGATATTGTACACTTACTGTGTTTGCTGCAAGTGAGAAACCTCCTAATGTCTGTCTGTTTCACGTGACTCGTCGGGATCCCAAACAACCGGAAGGTGGCGTTCTTCACATTACCCCAAAAGGAAGAAGGAGGGAGCCGCTTTTTTGGAGATACCTTTTGAAAATATGTGCACATATTGTTATATTAATTGCATTGCAGTCAGCATGTCAGGGTTTTTGAGTGAATTTCAACAATTGCATTTCTTTTTTATAATCCGCGAAGCGGATTATAAAAAAGATATTACATAATATGGCCAAGAATTAAAGTCATTCCTTATAATTTAATTTTAAAATAATTAAACAACTTTTGATGTAAAATTGTGTTGCTTTTTATAAGTTCAAATTTACACAACCGTAGTAACGGAAGTGATTTGAAGCGAGGGGAGGTAATGACTGATTCATAGATCTAGCAGCCATGATGTTTGTTTACATGAGGTAAGATTAAAGTTGAAGGTACATTTATTAAATCTGGAATTTTCCATGGATTCCGAGGACTGGAAATGAGGGGATTGCATGGATATGATGATTAAGCTGGTCGTCAAGGGGGTGTGTCCCCATACCAAACCAGATAATCAACCAATGAGAGGCGAGAATACAAATAAAATTAAATTATTTAAAGATATATGAGTGAATTTCAACAATTGCATTTCTTTTTCGTAGAGATATTACAACTGAGACTGGGATTTTGATTTCACAACCTTTCTGCGGAGTAACAAAGCTTTTCTAATCGTTTTGAAAGTATTAAAGCACTGCTGGTTGCTTTAAAACCGTGCGCTCTTTGTTTCTTTCAGGAAACAAATCTAATTGTGATATAAAATACAAATATCGTGTAGTGCAACAGTTATAATTGGCTTTAAAGCTAAGTGCACAGGCATGTCTTTTAATTTTCTCCGAGGCTAAAACTTACAAAAACGGACAATGGAAACAGCAGAAATCTTCTGATCAATTCCAATATACTCTTCTCTTCATCTGAAATCTGTTGACATAAGAAGATGATGAGATATTATTAAATGTTACGAATACGGAGAATTGTAAAACAAACACACAATTGATTTTAAATATTATCACCATGTTCAACAATAAATCCTAATGTTTCACAATAACATGAGAGAGAAGAGAGAGTTGTGAGTTCTGAACAAATATTTTCATAGGTCCGGAATAATGCAATATCGCATGTCGTTGGTCTTGAAATTCGTGTTCAGTTGAGTCAACAAATCCATTTGAGGTTTGGTTTGGTTACAGTTAAGCATTCTTTTGTTTTGTTAAACGTTGTAAATATAAAATTTACAAACCTTGTCAATCCAGATTTTCCCCTTACTTTTCTCCTCCAGTTCACCTCTGCCGGATTCTTTAGAGATAGGCGATGTCTGTACATGTTTCTCTGAGGTTGTAGTAGTGGATCTGGGTTCCAGAAACTGCATGGGACCTTCCGTCATCCAAAGCATGAAGTCGAGTCCAACTAGCAGGGATTTTCCCAGAAAGTTATTGAAAGCCGAGCGGGTTTTCTTCTTTACGTATCTCATTGATCTCTGTCGTGTTTTTCGTATTATCTGTAAAAAAAAAATTCATTCTCAAGGATTGTCTTCTTCAAATAATTTTATTTTTAAATAAGAATTTTTCATCTTTTCTGAAGCAGTGGGTATGAATCTTTCAAGTCGGCTATTTTTTCTCCAACCACTACATCAATATTGGAGCCTTCAATATAGAAATGTATGTTGATGTAACATTTATTACTTCTTTGTCGAACACCAGCAGTAAGGATGTTTTAAACATTGATGTATAGGTACATTGTATGATTAACTGAGTCTTAAAAAGAATTCTTGTTAGACAATCAGTTACCAAGTTAAACGCTTTAATTAAAATGAGGTCAAAGTCAAAGGAAAGGTCAAGCTAGGTTCCAAAATGTTGATGCATTTTAATAGCTTAAAGGTACTTGGACACAGATTTGAAGTTAATATTTTCTCATTTTTTCTGTATAATATCACGAATTATATATTTTAATAGCATTTCACACAAAAATTAATTAAAAATCTTATTTCATTTCACAAATTTTAACTTTATTCTTAATCCTTGGAAAAAGTGGCAATCTTGTTTGTATTAATGAGAAACATTAAAACTTAAATCCAGAAAAAATAATTTTATTCAGAGTAGAAATGTTAGAAAACAAAACACCTTCACAAGTTTCTAATTAAAATACACACTCGTGTTACATTTGTATGTACACAGTTTTTGTACAGGGCTGTTCTGTTATTGTTTATATTTAAATATGCGTTCAAGTCACAGTCTGCTTACACACTGCACGGACTGACAATATATTGTGTGTTTGTTTTGCTTTCGAATCCTATTCTGAATTTTCTGGATTATAGTAGTAATATTTTTCATTTATACAAAACGAGATTGCTACTTTTCCTAAGGATATATTAAATTTGTGAGAGTGCAAGGATATGTCAATACAAACCCGAAAAATTTGAAATTTCAATATCTTTTCAAGATTTTTAATTAATTTTTGTGTGAAATGCTATTAAAATATATAAGTCGTAATATTATAGAGAAAATAATAACTTCAAATCTGTGTCCAAGTACCTTTAAATCACAATGTATCAGCGTATGAAGTTTGTTTACACAATCTTGAATACTAGTAGTTTCCTTAAAACTGAGCTAAACATTAATTTAAGAAAAATGAGGACAAGGTCAAATGAAAGGTCAAGGTCAAAATGCTGATGCAGTTGAATAGCTTACATTAGTATCTCTCAGCATAGAAAGTTTGATACACACAACTCTTAACTCAACATATACAGAGGTTTGGAGGAAGACGGATATGGCAAACTCTGTAAGCCCCGGCTATTTTCATGATGGTGCATACATGTAAGTAATTAGTTTTGATGAATAAATATAATACATAAATAAATATAATTCAATTATATTGTAATGATTTTGACCGAGTTTCATCTTTTACAAATTTCTAGTTTGCTATAATTTACTGTAAAAATAGACAAAACAACAAAATGTACTTTCTTAAGAGAAGTACACCGGAAATGTACTCACCAGCCAATCTTTTAAGATGCAAACTTTCTGCCAGAAAATTCCAGCCCCATTCCAGAGCAGTGAATCCCATTTCCGTCGCAGTGCATATTTGCTTAGTTTTTTCGTACAGTTGGAGAGTGCTATCTACGACAGGAATCTCTTCCAATTCTTCCCATGTTTTGAAGTGATTTTCTTCTTCAACTTCGCTAGTTATTTTCATTTTCTCCGCTTCTTTCGCCATGGCCGCCCTGTACATGACTGAGGAAGGCGGTAAAATGAAGACTTTACACACGTGAAGACAATTCAGCCCGGTGACGATTCGGTTGACTGCCCTCGTTCCTATTGTCCGGAGTGGTCAATCGAATTATGGCCAAGAAGGAGCGGATCAAACACTACTCATGTAAGAGAACAGTCTTCGAAACAACATAAAAAATCACTGCTTTTAAGAAAAAATGGGTTGAATATATAAAATACAACTACATATTTGTTTGAATATGATATACATGTATATTCGGAACATGCATTTTCTCAAATGCTATTGAATAGGACATTTCACTTCAATTTACATGTAAACGATCTGAACCTTTAATTGCAAAATTAATATATTATCTAAAAACAGATTTTTGATAGGTCTTTGGTATCGTAATACGAATATACACATATTATTCTTTTAACATCAAAATATCGATTTATGTAAAACATTTTTTAATTCGTTAAACTACCAAATACCTGAAGATATTAATAAAATTTTAGGGAAAAAATGATGCTAAGTGAATTTACTTAATCTGTGCATTATTGACTTCGTGTGTGTATGGTGTCGTACCATCGGAAAACTAAGAAATATAATTGATTTCTATTTTTTTAAATATAGATGATATAAACCAAACACATGCTATCAATCAATTTTGCTCACAGAATTAAAAATTGATACAAAGACTTAAGCATTCGTTTGCTAATTTAAATTTTTAAAGTTCTCCACCTTTATCTATACAGTTTTTGAAAGAAAAAAAATGAACTCAAATTATTAATTGTATTTAATTAACTGTTCAATAGACATATATATCTAAATACATGCATATCATGTCGAAAATATAAATCATAAATTATAAGTGCTATGTACAGAATATCACAGACATTTAAAGGCTTAGTTCCTGTAAGCAAGAGAATAGAGTATTTGTAAATTGGCGTCATTGGTTACTAGAATATCCGCGTGTATGATGTCATTGCAGCAATAGAAGACTTCAAAGTGACTTTCAAGCAAATTTCATTTACTTCCGCTGTCCCATTTCTGCAAGTTTTTCTATGCAAAATCTTTCAGTGAGAAATCAAGAATTCCCGTTTCCTTCTCAATAGCTATATTAATTGGTGCGTTGAACCCTTTTTGAAATTTCCATCAGAAGCGAAATATATTTTTCTGTGGTACAAGAGGTAAACCGTCTCCAAAGGTGGAGCTTCTACTTGCGTGAAAAAGATAATCACCCATCAAAAAGCCCCAAAAATTCTTTTTTCTAACAAATGCATGACTATGAAAATACATGAACCAATCACTGTAAAGTCACTAAAGCATTCCTATCTTTTATCTAGTTCCCACAGTCCCTTTTAATCTAGGACAAAACACTCGTTCTATCATCCCTTGGTCTTTTTCCTGTCTGTTGTGCTTTGCTGGGGGTCTGCTTTTGGTTTAGAAGTATTGTTTTGTGGTTTCGACTGAACTTGTGAATTTGAATTGACCTGGGGTTTTGAGTTCTTTTGAACTTGATTTATATCATTAGCTTTAGTAGAATTTTTCTTTGCATCAGCCTGCTTATTATCGTTGGGATTAGGTGCTTTAGGCGTGACTTGGTTTTTATTCTTTGCATCAGGCTGCACCGGATTTTTGTCCTTTGGGTTAGGATTTGACTGATTTTTATCTACCGCCTTTGGCTGTGGGTTTTTGTCTTTTGGATTAGGCTGTGTCGGGTTTTTATCCTTCGAGTTAGCATTGGGTTGATTTTTGTCCTTTGTAATTGTCTGGGGTTGGTTTTTGTCCTTTGCATTAGACTGTGACGTGTTTTTATCCTTTAAATTTGAATTGGGTTGATTTTTGTCCACGGCCTTTAACTGTGGTTGGTTTTTGTCCTTTGCATTAGGCTGCGCTGGGTTTTTATTTTTTGGATCAGAATTAGGCTGATTTTTGTCCCCTGCCTTGGGCTGGGATTGATTTTTATCCTTTAGATGAGAATTAGGTTGTGCCGGATTTTTGTCCTTAGCATTCGCCGGTGCCGGATTGTTAGCTTTGGGTTGTGATTGATTTTTATCTTTTGGATTAGTATTAGCTTGGTTTTTATCCTTTGCCTTAGGCTGTGGTTGATTTTTATCTTTTGCCTTAGGCTGTTGTTGATTTTTATCCTTTGCATTAGGAGGAGGTTGATTTTTGTCTTTTACGTTAGGTTGAGCTTTGTTTGAGTTGGGCTTTGCTTGTTTGTTGTCTTTCTGCGCAGGCGTTGATTTGCCGCTCTGTTTGCCCGGTGTCGGAGTTTGACTAGGCTGCTGCTCTTGTTGTCTATCTTTGTCAGATTTATTCGCCATATTGGTATTCTAATACAGAAAAATCACCATATTGATATTATAATGATAGAGTTGTTACATGGTATTCTAGTTTTACAAATAATAAAAACAGCCCTATTGATAGTCTAAATAAAAGATTTGCCATATTGATATTCTAATTTTAAAAAGATCGCCATATTAGTACATATTTTTATGGGGAAAAAATCAGAGTGATATCAATATTGATTTCACGACATCAAAAAACATCGCTATTTCCCATTAGTACTACAGAGCTGGAAGAATGAAAACCAAAAGCTTTAATTTCTCTTTTTTCTCTTGTATTTGTTTAATTACCGTTCATTATTTAATATAAGCAACAAACTGTTTTACAATTAATTAAAACTCTTGAAAAACAGTATTGTTGCACGTCAAACAAATAGTGTTCCTACAACTTTGACACAGCAAAAATCAATTTTTTCCTATTAAATCTACGAAATATTCATTTTGATTGTTTGCATCAATGTTTGCAACAATCCTTGATATCGACGCCGGAATTGAAATGATGCTCTTCACCGAAAAATACAGATAATTGAACAATTTTGTCCTTATTTTTCATTTGACGTATTGCAATTGATTTTCAGTCCCTCCATAAGAATTTTTTAAAATTTCAAACAATTTATATGACCTTTGTTTTGAAGTTACTTCAAAATAAAAATTAAATGGCAAACAAATAAACAAACAAACAAAAACAAAGCATACCCAAACATAGAATGTCGCTGCTCCATTACTGACGCCCCGAATTTGTTCTAGTGTAAATTTAGACTGCATCTTTAGAACTCTTTGGCTTGTTTTGGAATTTATATTGATGGTATCTGCGTTTCGAACCTCCCTTATGAGACTTTCTTTTCCATATCGACCTAGGAGGCATTGCACATCAGTCCAGTCCTAATAGAAAAAAAATCATTAGTATATAGATGAAGCATATCACTGCGTGCAACTGCAAAATTCCATTTCAAGAGAAAGCCTTTTTCCCGAGGCGCAACGTTTATTCAATTTTTCATGAAAAAAAACTCCTCTGATTAATCATTATTTCAAAAAGTATTCATTTATGTATTAATTAATATCTTTTCTCAATTTCTGATATATTGATGTGTGTAATTATTCAGGCAAGTGAGATAGTGACCTGGTTGTAATTTGTAGGGATGTGCGATTTTATCGGTATACCGGTATATCGCGATTTTTTGTTGCGTGATACGTATCGTGATACGGAGACCTAAATACCGGTCTTTAGGTACATATTATAAAGTCCAGAAATTATTCATTTAATTGTTCAATCTTTCAAATTACAATTACAGAAAGTGTAAAAAATGTTGTAAAAAGTGAAAAGAATGGCGTCTTACCGTCCAAACATAATTGATTTTATAAATTCAGAAAGTAAAATTTTGTTTTTCAAGCATATTTTTTAGAAAAATAATGACTTTTCCTATAAAATCATTGTAAAAACTTCTTTTAAAAATATCATGATATTATCGTGATATTGTGGGAAAAAATCGTGATATATCGCGATACGAAATGTTTGGCGATACCCATCCCTAGTAATTTGCAATATCCAGCAATATTTTAAAAGTCAAATCATCCCTTATTTCAAAAATGGATTCAAAAATACCTCATTCATACCCTTAGTTTTTCCTCGTCATAACCAAGTAACATATACGTTCCCATCATGACCTCATGAACGCCATCTGGCGGATGATGATAGCTTCGTATCTCTGAGATCGTTGATTGGTCCATTTCGAGGATGTCATGGCGATACTGATCAAGTTCCTTCAAATGCTCGCGCAGCCTTTTAGCAGTATCAAGAGGTTGACTCAACTCGGATACGTATTCCGAGGCTTCCACTCTTTCGATTGCCTTGTCCAAAATACCTGGATGACGTCGTAAAATTGCATCACGAAGTTCTGTGTAAGAAAAATATAAACTAAATTACTGATCAAGATTTATTAAGATACTAGTACAGTTAGTCTTGTAGTGGGTTGTGATAAACTCGAAAATATATTTTGCCAAAATTTGGGAAAGATTAAATTGTCAAAGAATGCCTATAAAAATGAGTATTTGGAAGCGCTAATCCCTATTATGCAAATTTAGTAATCATTCTGCGTTTACGCAAGGTTACCTTTTCTAAGGTATAAAAATTTGAGCCTCTCTATGGCGTCAGTGTAGTCGCCATTGTCCTCCAATTTATTCTTCTCGAACAAATCTATTGCATGTTCCAGCTCCTCGATGTCCGAGTTTGTAGCAGCCTGTCTCAACTGTTCTCGGATTCGTTTCTAAATAATGAAGTATGCTTTATGTATTACTACTAATATTATTCCAAATATTGTATCAATCTAATACAGGTATAATATTTCTCTGCAAACTTATTTTAGTACATGTATACTTATTTGGTTACAGACAAGCCTAGCATATTTAGCGCAAAAAGACACAAATATATTAGCAGCTACTTAACAGTTTTGCCCTTACACTTTGAGTTTTATTTCTCTATTTGAAATTTGAATGGGCTGGTGTTTTGATTTTTTTTTGTGGTGCTGAGTTATCAAATTATGCTTTGTTACTCTAAAAGTTGAGAACTAGGGGGATATGTTGGGGATTTGGTTTAATTTTTACCTGTGGTTCCCACTTTTACAGGACTCAGGAGGATTGGGAGACTATTACGGGTATTCTACCCTTACTCATAGGCTTCTAAGTAGTCTAAGGGGGCTATACACCCCCCCCCCACACACACACGAAATCATTCTTTTTAGAGAAGAAAAAATATTCCCGGTTTACACACATCACTTTACGAACGGCACATAAACAGTACTAGTTTATAAGGTGACTAGGGTGACCTTAATTTTCAAAGCAATATATAATTATGTGAATGTGAAAATAATTTGAATTAAAAAATGTGCTTGTGTATGTACTTAATCTAAAAAAGTTGAATTTAATTTTGCTGCAAATTTCATTCTACAAATTAGAAAACAATATAGTAAAGTTTGTAGAAAAGTATACCCCCTTTTATAGCAAAGTACCAGTAAGTCAGAAATTAGAAGTCGCAAATGAGAAGCGTTTGAGACATAAATAATGATGTCCAAATCAAAATAGTTTTATGGCGTTTTTTCTTTGGTTTTGTTATCAATAATGAAATTATGTTGGGTAACAATATCTGGTTGTGTCACTGTTATTAGTTTCATTTTGTCTGGTTGTGTCACTGTTAACTGTTTAATTTTGACTGGTTGTGTCACTGTTAACTGTTTAGTTTTTTTCTGGTTGTGTCACTGTTATCAGTTTTATTTTTTCTGGTTGTGTCACTGTTATCAGTTTCGTTTTGTCTGGTTGTGTCACTGTTATCAGTTTCGTTTTGTCTGGTTGTGTCACTGTTATCAGTTTCGTTTTGTCTTGTGTCACTTTTAACTGTGTAGTCTTGTCTGCTTGTGTCACTGTTAACTCGGTAGTTTTATCTGGTTGTATCACTGTTAACTGTTTAATCTTGTTTGATTGTACCAATGTTAACTATGAAGGTCAGTTCTGTGTGGTTATGTCACTGTTAAATTGTCTGGTTGTGCCATTATTAACTGTTTAGTCTTTTCTGGTTGTGCCACTGTTGTCTTTAAGGTTTTGTATAGTTGTGTTACTGTTAACGGTTGATTTCTTTGATTTTGTCCTTAAATAATTTAGTCTGATTGTGTCACTGTTAACTGTAAAAACTTCGTCTGGATTTGTCACCATTTGCTGTTTACATGTAATCTTGTCTGGTTGTTCACTGTTAACTGTTTAGTCTTTTCTGATTGTGTCACTGTTAACTATGAAGGTCTGTCTAGTTGTGTCGCTGGTAACTGTTTAGTCTTGTCTGGTTGTGTCATCGATAACTATGAAGGTCTTGTCGATTTTCTCACTGTTTACTGTATAAGTTTGTCGAATGTGTTATTGCAGCCCGGAGGACCGGGCTGCTCTATACATATAAGTTTAAGTGTTGGTATATGGGGATTGTGGTGGGAGTAGTTATTCACAATCAAAAGTTTTCTAAACATGGAAAAGATTGTTAATCAGAATGTTCTTTCCCTTTATAAATTACGAGATACATAATATATTACTTCCATAAAGTGAATCTGTAAAAATATATATGTTTTTCATATTTTATATATAAAGTTGCTTATCATTTACTATCGAAAAAACGAGAGGTCCCTTTTTTTAGAATACCGAATTTTACTTCTCGGATAAAAACGTTCTCTGCACAATTCGTGTTTTATATTCTAAAACTGAAAATTTAATACATTTTTGAATACAGGTGATGCATTTGTCTAACTTCAATTTATATTTTATGCAGCCAACATTTACTCGAGGAATTGAAGTTTAAAATAGTATCTTTTTTGTTTGACATTTATCCGACTATAAGTTTTCCAAATATTCGCGACTATTGTCTCCATCAGTTAGACGCATGCCTTTTCACACATATCGAAGCGGTTTTATGATCAAGAGTCATTTCCATAGTTTTAACTGTTGTGTCTCTTCTGATTGTGTCATTGTTAAATGTTTAGTGTTGTCTTCTTGTGTCATTATTAATTGTTTAGTCTTGTCTGGTAGAATCACTGTAAACCATGAACTTGACTGGTTGTATCTGTGTTAACGCTTTGGCTTTCCTTTTCGTGTCAGTACAGTGTTTAGACTTAAACAGTTCATAGAATCATACTTGATTATAAGTTACAGACCAGAAGTGCCCAAAATATATACAAGCAATCTTTATCTACAAAGAAATACTGATAAGAAAATAAAGTAACATAAAGATTCTAAAGAGAGAAAGATCAGTTTGATACATAGACCTGTAGAAGTAATTTCTACTTTTAAGTTATCAAATGCCACTCTTTGTTATAAAACCAAACTATGCGACAGTTATATGCGGTAGGGTAAGACGTAACCATGGAAATATATCAACGTTACCAAGGAAACTCAACGTTACCAGGTATCCTATTTCTTTCTGTGGTTTTCCCTAGTGAAATGGAATAATGTTCATTGTTATTTTCGCTTTGAATTTTTAATAAAGGTTAAAGTTAACATGCTCAATTCTAGAGAGAAATATATTTTAATTTTTTTGTTGATTTATTAATAGACTTGGATCGTATCCATACTTTTTTTGTTATCACGAGCCAAACTAATTAGCATTTCCATTGCCTAACTACATCTACATCATATTTTTAAAACATAAAAGTTACTAACAACGATCCCTCAATCCTTAAACAGATCAGACATGTGTTTACATAGCTCTGTTTGAATTTTCTCTAAGATATTTACTTTTCTTCTTTAAGCCGTTTAGAGTCGTTGAGATAAATGCATACTAAATACAGTGATATTTTTATCAGTGCTATTGTTGAGATATGTCTATTTTATTGATAACATACTACTTAAAGAATTCAAATTTTTTTCTCTTCGGGTGATCATCAGTTTTAACAATTCATATTGACGACGTAAGGTTGAATACAATTAATACAATTGGAGAATAAAACTAATAGAGCTACACATTTCCAGCTAATTAATAAACACCTATTAAAAATATCTACAATACGAGATTTGGAATAAAGAAAGAAATATACATGTAATACGTAACCTACAATTACGACCTCTCACCTTGTAACCTTTTTCGTTGACTGGTTCTCTTACTTCTTTAACTTTCCCCTTCCCACCTTTATTTCCCTGTCAATAAAGAATTCTTTTGTTTAAATTATTTGCTTTAAAGAGAAAGGATAATACATTTCCATAAGTCATGGTTTTTGCTTCTATGTTTCAAAGCTTTTTTCCTTTGATTCGACAAGCATTTGTAAAAGGTTCCAAAAGTCATTTCATTATGATTAAACTAATAAAATATCATTATAGGAAGCAATTTTTTTTAACATACAGATTTTATTTCTAGTTACGTAAATAAATAAATCATGAAGGTGATCCACCTAACAACGCCACTAAAGAGTTTGTATTATATACACCGTGCATACAGAGCTCGATGATTTATAGTCAATAAAAGGAAAAGACTTTCAAGTGGAAAAAGAATTAAAGTTGATTACACGAGAATTATGTAAACAGAATGAAATACAGAGTATTAATACTTTTTTGAGGGGAAAATATGCAAAGAAGTGTTCGGAACATATTACGAGCAAGAGAAAAGTTCCATTTTTGTAAACCAGTTGAAAATGATCCATATTGTTACAGTTTAGTAGTTTGTCAGAAGATTCAAGTGAAATAGAAAAAAAAATGATATTGTCATTCTGATAAATAACAAGGGAAAGTCCTGCCACCTATCTGATACCTCATTTTGACTATCTAGTTTGGTCACAGATTTGGATTTCCGCTTTGTGGAAGTGACGTCATCAGTTTCAGCTATAGCACTGAAATCTTGTTGCTGAAAACACACCCATAAGGTGAATGGTAATAAATAGTTACTTTATATCGTAATCAAGTGGCTTTTGGAATATGCATTGTACAAATAAACAACATGTATATGATTTTATATATGGTGATTTTTTTGTTAAGTTTTAGACTTTTAATATAGTAATTAATACGAGTAATACGTAAACTGGGTTGGTCATTATACATTGAAAAGCTACCAAGAATCATTAACTGAATTCAGTTTAAAAAAGAGAAAAAAACAAAGACAATGCCATTTAAATTTGAAATACGAAATTACACTTCAAAAGAGTTAATTTTTTCAGCTATAACATTCTTAAAAAATAGTTATGAAACGGTTGTAATGGTCTCACTTTCTCTATAGATACAGAAATGAAAGAAAAAGAGTATTAAATGCGGTTCTTGATTCGGATCAAAGGATTTGCCGTCTCTTAAAAAAATTCTATACACTCGTTATTCCCAAATTTAGTCCCTTCAAATCGATAAATGGTCTTTATTCCAGCTATTTAGTCTATTTAAGATGTATATTTCTGCGATCAAGCGAAAAATCAATAAAATAGAGCTCCATAAAATGCAAATAACGCACCGAATTATCGTAAAAATGGCAGAATACTTCAGTTAAATCTATTAAAGATATGGTAAAATCCTGCGTCATTGCTTTAAGGCATGTCATAATATCATATATGTTGGAATGACGGTATTTCAATCCAACTCTTATTCATGATTGCATCAAGCGGGGGAAAAACTTCAAAAGCCGTGGTATTATCCCCCCCCCCCCTGTTACCGTTGAAATAAAGTACAGTTCGCCCTAGTAAAATATTCAACGTCACCGATTTTTTCTTCTTTTCATTCATTATTTTAAATAGATTAATCATTTTTGTCCCCCGCTTTCGCGAAAGCGATAATGATGGTCTTCCGTATTCTGTCCGCCGTACAAAAACTTTAACCTTGCCCATAACTTTTGATTTAGTGGAGCTATGACTTTCATATTTCATATGTGTATTCCTTGTAATAAGACCTTTCTTTGGGTACCACCAAATTTGACCTTTTGACCTTGACCCTGGAGTTTGACCCACTTTTACACAAAAATTCCAAACTTTTACTTTGGCTATAACTTTTGAATGGTAGGTACTAGGACTTTCATATTTCACATATGTATTCTTTGTAGCAAGACTTTTTATTGGATACCAACAACTTTGACCTTTGACCTTGACCTTGGAGATTTCCGTACTTATGAATAAACTTTAACATTGACCATAACTTTTGAATGGTAAGGGCTAGGGCTTTCATACATCATATATATAATTCTTGTGATAAGAACTTTCATTGAATACCAAGAACTTTGCCCCTTGGACCTTGACCTTGGAGTTTGACCTACTTTTCAAAAACTTTGACCTTGGCCACAACCTTTGAACAGTAGATCCAGGACTTTCATATTTCACATATGTATTTTTTGTGGCAAGACCTTTCATTTCATACCAATAACCTTGACCTTTTGACCTTGACCTTGGAGATTTTTTGTACTTATGAAAAACGTTAACCTTGACCATAACTTTTGAATGGTAAGGGCTAGGGCTTTCATACTTCACATATGTAATCCTTTTGAGAAGACTTTTCATTGGATACCAAGAACGTTAACCCTTTGACCTTGACCTCGGAGTTCAGTGATAATTTATAAAATGACTTACGATTTCATATTATTGTCATAAAAAATGACATCTCACCCAAAAAGACACCGAAAGCGGGGGACCACAATTCTTTGAATTTGCTTGTCTTAATTATTTGTCATTTTATTTATTTTTGAGTGTTGACAATGCTCAGTTTCCCTCACCTGTTGGTTTTTGACGGTCGACTTTCTGCCCCCCGCGGCCTTTCCTTTTCCCTGGGCCTGCGCGTTGACGTCATCCTTGGAACCACCGCAGCCCATCTTTGACAGTGTTTGCCACCAGGTTTACGCCATGTTATAACTTAGATTTCAATGTTTCGACTTTACTGTTGTTGTTGATACTTTCTCTAAAGACATAAAAACATTATACATTGCTATTTCATTTTAAATCACAATCATTTCGTTTATATAAGTCAAATTCTACTTAATTTGTTGAATGTTAATGTATCCTTTAATTCAATGTGTTAAAAGCAAAAGTACACTTACTCGAGATTTCTGCGCGATAAACTTGTCTAATTGTGGATAAAATTTAAAACGTTTCCACTTTTTTGAGGAGGAAAACACGGATGTAAAATCAACATCATAGAAATTTGTGTAAAAATATAAAATTTCAATGGGACGCTTCTAATGTTTTGATGTGCCTTTTTATCGATAACTGATTTATCACTAACTTTCTGTACCGGATTATTTACAGAATGTTCATTACAGATTATATTTGCCTTCTAAAAATCTCGGTATCACACTGAAAAAGAGAGAGCGTCTTAATTAAACATCTACTGTGAGATTTAATGGCCACGGATATTCAATACTTTTAAGCCTAGGAATAGTCGACTGAATGTTTAGCCAGGGCTCAAATGGTAAACATTTGTGCATCAACTGGCTTTGGAGGTTAATTCGCCAAAGCAGTCAAACACTTAAAGGGTGCTTAAATCAGTGGGTAGCAGGGATAAAAAATCTATAATGAAAGTTTTATTAAGCAATTTTTCTTCTTTCTCTTCAATTAAAAAAATGTCCCTGTCGTGTTGTTTTGTTGAGTATAAAGATTGTCCTTGTAGTCACATATCGTGATATTTATCCTAAGCAGGTTATTAAAAAACAGAAGAGATTCAAGGTTGGGATAAAAACTTAATAAAGGAAATGAATATGCATCTTGAAACAATAAGTGTTTGAGAGCACAGCAGGGGGGTAGGTCTGCCTCGATTTTTAATCAATTTTTGGTATATATGCGCTAAGTTTACAAAGAACACGGTCATAAAAAAGAGTGTGGTAGTGTTATTGATATACTTGACATATTGCATAAGCATTGGGCATTTTTCTAGTGAAGTCTGGGGTGTGGCCAATATACCCATGGCTATGCATGTCCATTTTATGCATTGAGATACCGCGTTCTTTTTTGTGCATTGTAAATTGTATCAAGTCAGGTAGCTAGTGTTTATTTTGATTTATTACCTCCTTGTGTTTATTAATAACTGGCATTTTAAATCAGTTTATTTAATGTCACTAATCCCTCTAAGGGTGCAGATAATTTTTATATGGTGCTATAAAAAGTAGCACGCCCTTTTAAATCAATTTTCTTTATGGATCTTTGCTCGAAGAAGGCTGAATGTATTCTTTTAAGTATATAAAAACAATTTCAAATTTATATTCCCACAGAAACTACTTTGAATGTAATACTGCCAATTATACAGGCACGTAATTATAGTTTTTGAAAGGGGACAGCCAGGGAAAAAAGTCATCTTGTAAAACCTTGACAAGCATAAAAAATATATGCCAAAAAATCCTATTTCGTGGTGGTGTTAGGTTCCGATTTTCGCTTCCAAATATCGTCAATTCATCTTCACATTCTCTTATAACTCAATTGTATTTAAAAAAAATTCAACTTACTATGCCAAAGAGAAAAGGGGGCAGGCTATTTTCAACAGTGAGTCCCCCCCCCTTACTATGTGCCAGTTATACAATGTTAAAAAATATGATGAACCACAATTGCTTGACTTTATCTTTGTCATTTTACTGATTATTTCTAAGTAGAATCTGCTTAATAGTATTTACACTTCAATTCAACTACTTTACCTTGAAATTTTTTAAGCTGAAATTATCAGTAACCGATTTAAAACTTTTCTAATTCTAAGTACAAATTTTTAAGCATTTTTTAATATGGATGGAAATAATTTTCATTTTCATATGCATGTACTTACTTTTTAAAGCTAATAAATCTCTGTTTTCAAAAATCTATTTGGCATCCTTCATTTCCAGATAAGTTCCAACATCCAACACAAATATTGTAAACTCCCAAGTTCCGCCTCATACGGGTATAAGTTTGTTTTCCTCTATCTCTCTCCTTCACAACGGGGTTGTGTACAAGGGAAAACACAGATTGAATGAGATTTCCGATTCGTGTTAAACGACGTTTGACATAAACCTTCAGAAATTCACTGAAATGAGAAGCCCCCTTTTAACAAAGACGTACCCCTTTTGAATTTTTGTCAATTCCAAAATGCACATTGTCTGTCTTTTGTATTGCTTTCAATTACAACCCCCAAAATGTTTGTTTGAGGTCTGAAACGATATCAATATATTTCCTTCACCTCGACAGAAACAGAATATTTACCAAAAGCGCGATAACGAAGCGTTCCGTATAAGGTTGAGATACGGCGAATAGAAAGAGCCGTGTTCAATATTCAATCTTACATCGATGAAAAATTTTGTAAGGCGTGTTTAAAAGTCTGCATTCAGGGTGATATAAAGCGATGTTATATGTGAAATCACTACCGAAAATTTAATAGAGAAAGTCTTTGTTATAACACAGGCACTCGTTTCTCTGAGAATAATTGAAGTAAAATTTAATCATAAAACGTGTTTCAACAATATATTAAGCCAATAAATCCTTTTTTTTCATTACGAGACGTATATTAAAATGAACATTAAAAAAATCGAATTTGAACAAAAGCGTAATTATTTTTGAATAGATTTAAAAACCCAGCAAAGCAATTTCGCCAATGCATATGACATCATTTTAAGTTTGTTTGATTTGTTTTTGTTTTTTTTGTTTTGTTTAACGTGCCTTCGAGAATGCAGACTCACCACCACTTGCCGGTGAAGTGCTGCTTTAGAATTTCGGCGTAGTGTATGGCCTTAATTCGGCTTTGAGAAGTGAAGCCTAACTTTGAGAAGGGAAGGATCTTTTTCATGCCATTACATAGATACTGCTACAAGGGGCTTTATTCGGTTTGCACCGAGGGAGCTGTCTCCAAGCTCTGCAGAAGGATTCGAACCCACTCGGTCGCCTGCGTGGTGCAGTGGTTAGAGCGGCTGCTCTAGAGTCGCGGAGTAAGGAGTTTTAAAATCCTTACTCCTTACGTTACGGGTTCTAATCCCACTGTAGGACGAGGAGACCAGTCTTTCGGATGATATCGTATAAACCAAGGTCCGGAAAAAAAGATCCCTCCCTGCTCAATGGCCCTGAGTGCCGAGTATAGGCACAAAATTTGCAGCTCTCAACCAGCAAGTGGTGGCGTCTCCATATGAGTGAAAAATTCTCAAGAGGGACGTTAAACAACATACAATCAATCAACCAGTGAGAGCTCTTGCAAAGCTTCATTTACGGACCCAGTTAGTAAAAGCGTCTTTCAAGCTTCACTGACAAAATCTCAACCATTGAGAGCTCTGTTCAATAATTTCTTCGCTCTCGAAGCTTGTGCCTCTGCTATGTTTTTTTTTTCTTCGTTATTTAGACGATTACATGTTGTGACAAAAGTTACTTTTGTCATATAATGAGTCATCTGAGCAAAAAGCAACGTTTAATTATTTTAATGTCTTGTGAATACAATCTTTGCATTACATTGAATCGACTTGACAAAATTTTTCGCTCTTAGGACTCCTGCGAGCTTGTGAAATTAGAAATTGTTCATCCTCATACATGTAGCACCAGAAACCCTATCGTTAGAATTAACTTTTCTTGTGTGAGCATCCACGCTACTCTTTTTTTTTTACTTTGTCCTCGACAAAAAATGTAAACGTTGGAAACCTTCGACATATTGATCTTTCCCTGTGAACCTAATGATCTTAGATCATAAGAACCGTTTGTATTATGTACACCCAAAAGGACTACAATTGTCAATCCCGCAGAATTATATAATTCTGAAACCTCTAACCTTGTTAAAATAATCATAGTTTAGAATATTGACAGATCCTCTTGTCACCTGCAACTTACATATATGTACCATGGGCTTTATCACAGACTTGTGGTCAGCAAACTAGGCGAAATGAATAATTCTCCAGATAGACAGATATATAGACTAATGAGAAATTGAGAATGGTGATATTATATAAATATTGCATGTAGTTGAGTGTAACATTGAAAATTTTCACCCCAAGAAAACCATTGTCAACCGAGGCGCAGCCGAGGTTGACAACTGGTTTTCGACAAAAAATGTAAATTTTCAATGTTACACTCAACTACATGCTATATTTATTATATTATACTGAATGTTTTATACAAATACATATAACAGTGAACCGTGCGCGCATAAATTCTGCGCAGTCGCTATTTTTTGGAATACCACCCGTCGTTAAGCAATGTTGACTGTTGGTACGATGGAGGGCGTGGCTTCATTATTCAGCGGGTAGTAGTGTTTTTTAACAAATGTTTCTCGACCAATCAGATTCAACTAATTTACATGAAAGTATAATATTATATAAATATTGCATGTAGTTGAGTGTAACATTGAAAATTTTCACCCCAAGAAAACAATTGTCAACCTCGGCTACGCCTCGGTTGACAATGGTTGCGCTGAGGTTGACAATGGTTTTCTTGGGGTGAAAATTTTCAATATTACACTCAACTACATGCAATATTTATTATATTATACTGAATGTTTTATACAAATACATATAACAGTGAACCGTGTGCGCATAAATTCTGCGCAGTCGCTATTTTTTGGAATATCACCCGTCGTCAAGCAATGTTGACTGTTGCTACGCAGGAGGGCGTGGCTTCATTATTCAGCGGGTAATAGTGCTTTTTAACAAATGTTTCTCGACAAATCAGATTCAAGTAATTTACATGAAAGTGTATATTATTGCATAATACCCGGTGCAAAACTTTGCCTTTGCGGGTGGATCTTAATAAAATAAAATAAAATACAATAGTTAGTTAGCATTAACATTTAGATACATGAAAATCGTCTGAAATTTATAATTCCTTAACAGATAATTGCTTGCGTGGCGCAGTTGTCAGAGCGTTTGTTCCAGACATAGCTATAGTGCCGCGGATTAAGGAGTTGGTCCTCACGTCTCCGGTTCGAATCAATCGGGAATCCTCGGCTGACTCCGATACGCTCTAATTTGTGGGAGGTACGAGCCATCCCAGAAGCTCCGATTGGGTTCGATTTATTGATTGCTGTTTAACGTCCCTATCAAGAATTTTTCACTCATATGGAGACACCACCACTTGCCGGTGGAGAGCTGTAAATTATGTGCCTATACTCGGCACTTAGGGCCATTGAGCAGAGAGGGATCTTTTTCGTGCCAGCACCTACTGCGACACGGGACCTCGGTTTAAACGGTCTCATCTGAAACACCGGTCTCCGCGTCCCACAGTGGGATTCGAACCCGCGATGTAAGGATCAACTCCTTACGTCACGACTCTAGAGCAGACGCTCTAACCACTGCACCACGCGGGCGACCTCACTGGTTGCATGAGATTGTGTAAGTGAAGTTTGGGAAGCACCCTCACTGTTTGATATTAAAAAACATACAATAATCAAAGAACTCACGCCTATGCATTGAAAGTTTTGTCAGCGCGGTGCAGTGGTTAAGAATTTGAAGAAAACAAACAAACAACTGACACGTTTTTTTTTTTTTAAATATCAAAATCATAAAATAATCCTCATTGTCTCTTTGAATATGAAACCTAACCTCGTTGTTTGAAAACAAACTTAATCTTTTTACATTCATTTAATGATTTTTTGACGGACGACTCACGGCATGTTTAATGGAACCATATTGTACTTGTCGGCAGGGGACTAATATTGAATGTATTATTCTTGTGATATCGAGAAAATGTCTAAAAACTACGAGAAAAGGTCTTGTAATTACGAAGAAAGATCTCATTTTTACGATAAAGTTACTAGTATATCGTTGTTATATGTTCGAGATAATCATCTCATAATTACTAAAAAATCTCTCGTACTTACATGGTAATTTATTAATAATGGTTACATGATGTGTCTTCTGATTTTAAATTTCTTGATTCTGTTGACACGTTGACCATAGCGACCATGCAATGAAAACTGAAGCATTAATGTAATAATCGTGTCAAAATTTGTAATACGAAATTTTAATAATTCATTAAAAAAAATTACTCTCTATATGAAGAAAGCCAAGATTGGTATATACCCCGCTAATTGATTAGCTATTGTTATGGGCTATGTAGAAAAAAAACTCATTTTACACAAGGAAAGCGACATAACTCGAATTTAATATAAAGCTTTCATCATTCTCCCATTATTCTTCTTTATTTAAATTTGTTAAATCTAAAAACATTAAACAATTCATGACATGATATTAAAAAAAATGTATTCATTTCTTTGGAAAGTAAAAAAAATAACAAATTGTAAATGAGAACATGGAATTGATTGAAAAAATACAAACTTGTCTAATTCGGACGCCAATGGTTCCAAAAAAGTGACCGAATTAGACAACATTCCTAATAAGATATAGCATTTTAGACACTTGAATTTATCGAAAGGGACTTAATTTAAGTTTGCATCGTATAAGAAAAGAGTTCGGCATGCACAACATTCGGATTAGACAAGTTTCACTGTACAACCTTTTTCAACTCATTTTCACAACATTGATCCTTTTTACATTGATCCTCCCTTCTATTTTTGTTTATTTGCATGTTTAACATTCATCTCGAGAATTTTTCACTCATATGGTGACGCCACCACTTTCCGGTGGAGAGCTGCAAATTTAAACCTTTTAACTCGGCACTTACAGCCATTGAGCAGTGGGGAATCTTTTTCGTGCCAGCACCTACTGCGACAAGTGACCTCAGTTTATATGATCTCATCCGAAGTACCGGTCTCCACGTCCCATAGTGACAACTCCTTACTTCGCAACTCTAGAACAGACGCTCTAAACACTGCGCCACGCGAGCATCCTACCATGTTTAAATAACCAGAAGTCTCCGTCGAGACTGTAGCTCTACTGGTTTGTACTTATAACAAAGGATGAGAAAAGAAGCCATTGCCATCAGACCAAAACTGTAGGAGTAGCACTTAAAAGGAATTTCACAGATATTTCTATTTTTAGTAACATAGCAACACTGTGCATCGAAATAAAAAACCGATGCACTATTTTATGTATCTTAGTGTAGTCTACTTGTGTGCCAAGTTATATTGAAATCAGACCAAAATTGAAGGAGGAGTAGTGTTTTAAAGGAATTTCACAGAAAATTCTATTTTTAGTAACCATGGCAACAATGTTCATCCAAATCAAAATCCGATGCACTATTTTATGTATCTTAATGTAGTCTACTTGTGTGCCAAGTTATATAGAAATCAGATCAAAACTGTAGGAGGAGTAGCATTTTTAAAGGAATTTCACAGAAAATTCTATTTTTAGTAACCATGGCAACATCGTTCATCCAAATCAAAAACCGATGCACTCTCTCTCTCTCTCTCTCTCTCTCTCTCTCTTATAAAAAATTTACAGAAAATGTATATTTGTATTGATAATATGTAAAAAATCTGTAAATAAATAAAAAAAAAAAAAAAAAAAAAAAAAAAAAAAAACCGATGCACAATTTTATGTATCTTAATGTAGTCTACTTGTGTGCCAAGTTATATAGAAATCAGATCAAAACTGTAGGAGGAGTAGCATTTTTAAAGGAATTTCACAGAAAATTCTATTTTTAGTAACCATGGTAACACCGTTCATCCAAATCAAAATCCGATGCACTATTTAATGTATCTTAGTGTAGTCTACTTGTGTGCCAAGTTACACGAAAATCAGACCAAAACTGTAGGAGTAGTAGCATTTTGAAAAATTGTTTACAGACAGACGGACAGCTAGACAGACAGGCGGACGGACGACGGACACCTTACTATTGCATAAGCTCTTCTGGTCTCTGACCAGTTGAGCTAAAAATCTCTTATGTAGATTTCTCCAAAATTATCATCTATATAATTTGATAAAATAGAAATTAATTCATGGTTTAACTGTTTATAAAAGCCATATAAATACATAACTTACGTGTATTTACAACTAAATGTGCATCACGAGTTTGCAATTTGAAACAAAACATGATAACGTTTTTATTATGGCAAATGAGATCTTCATCTCCATATTATGCTACTAATTCACGTTTCCAATTTTCGAAAACCCTTTACAGAAATATTAGCATCTAGTTCAATAGTGTCGGTATTAGTGCGATATTTTTCTTTATGAGGTTCAACTTTTGACTTATTTTCTACCAATTTGTGTTTTGAATGGTCCTTTTTACATATAAGCACAATAACAGACAATATAACTAATAGTATGATAGGTAAACAAACGCCAAGAACAATGGCTGTAGTCTCTCTTCCGGCTAATTTATTTGTTTCATTTGTTGAAGCCGGACTTGTTGACGATGTTATTAAACTGGTTGTATGTGAACCAGTCAAAGCTTGAGTTATGGTTGATGTCGTACATTTCATTTCTGGAATACCAGACGATAATGTATGTTGCGAGGATTGTTTTCCTGTACTCCTTTCGGAAATTCTCGTTGTTATTGATGGCTGGAAAGTAAATTTTGAGACATCTGTTATTAGTGATGATAGAATTATAGATGTAGAACCCGTAAAAGTTGATGGTGGCAATGAATTTGATATGTGTGTTGTTGGCTTTGCCGTATTGGTTGTTTTTGATGTTGATGGTGATGAAGTCTTTGTCTTGATGACTGATGTTGTAGTTGTGCGTTTGCTAAAAGGCAACAAAGTTGTTATTGACGAAATGTTTGTTTGAAGTGATGACTGAGTAGATGAGAATTTTGATGAAATGAAGACAGTCTCTTTCTTTGTTGTTGCCACACTCGATGAATTAGTAGATGATTTAGAAGTTTGAGTTGATGAAAGCCATGGAAGATGTGTTGATGACTTCGTTGGTATTTGAGAGATGGTAACCGCTGATGATATTTCTGGATGGTTAGTCGTGGTATTTGATTTTTGAGTTGTTGAAAATGACAAAGTTCTATATGAAGAAGTTGTATGCCCTAGTTTTGATGTAGATGAGTCTGATGAAGATGATGATCTTGTAGACGGTTGGATTCGTTTTGTTGTTTGTGTAGACAATGTTGTTGATGTCTTGGTGGAATATGGAGATGACAGATGCGATGTTGATGTTGTTGGTGGTAGAGTTGATGACCCATGCGTTGTCTTTTGTGAAGATGATATACCAACCTGTGTTGTTGAGACTTTGAATTCTGTCGTTGATGGTTTGGGTGATGTCCTCTCTGTTGTTGATGGAGTTGTTGTGAGTATACCTTTTGAAAATGGTGAATATTTAGAACAGCAAGAACAATGTTTTAGACAGAAATGTATTTAGCGTTTCTTTTTCAATTGGTGCTCAGTACCTTGTGTTGAAATTCATCAAACATGTGTTCAATGTTGAAAATGATATTAATTTAGATATATGTACTTCTAAGCATATACTCAAGTTAACTGAACCTGCAAAACCTGCGAAATAAAATAAAATAAAATTATTTCTTATATACAAACTGATTAATTAGAAAATATAATCTTGTACTTACATTCGCCATTTTGAATTGTGACGTCATCAACACCCATGACGGAGCCAAAAAATCTCGAATCTGTGTAAGAACCCTCCAAAATGATCTGTGAAAAATATATACATATTCATACAATTATATTCATACATATATTTATAAATAATTTTTATCAAAGAAAGGAAAAAGAAAAATGTATTCAATAAATGTAAGCTTATTAAACGTATGATGGAATTATCACCACTTCATAGACAAAACTGTCAATTCTCTGCTATGTATTTGTTTTGAAATTAAAATTTCTTTTCGTTTTCTTTTTTTCAAAAAGCGATTTTAAATCATAGTTCATTTTAAAGATTGATTGATTGTATGTTCTTTTGCGTCCTTTTCGAGAATTTATCACTCATATGGAGACGCCATCACTTGCCAGTAGAGAGCTACAAATTTTGTTCAATACTCAGCACTAACGGCCATTGAGCAGTGAGGAATCGTTTTCATGTCAGCATTTACTGCGACACGGGACTTCGGTTTATGCAGTCTCATCCTAATGACCGGTCTCCACGTCCCACAGCTGGATTCGAACCCGCGACGTAAAGATCAACTTCTTAATTCGCGACTCCAGAACAGACGCTCTGACCACTGCGCCAAGATTTCTAGGAAGAAAAAGCAATATTTACCTGAAAGTAGGAAGTCCCGTTCACGGTAAACATCAAAGACTTCCAGCCAGGTGGGTTCTTATATGAAGCTTCATGTAATAAAACCAATTTCATAGAGGGGAGAAATCTCTGGTAGATGGAGAGTGTCCCGCTAGTTGCTGTTGCTAAATACAGGTAAAAGCTCAAACAGGCGGCGCCAGTGCTCTCCAAAACAGGGGAGATAATTTGTGCTGCGTCGCCATTCTCGCCCATGTTCCAGTTATTCAAAAGTAAGAATTTACCTAGAAATCAAGTAAAAAAAATGCATTCATACTACATGTACCTAATAAAATACATATGAATTTTTATGTAAACAATGCGAAATACTTGCCTCTTCCTTTCCTAGAGAAGTCTCCAGATATCAGTATTTTGCCCTTATTTAGAATAGGTCCAGAAGTTATATTCCAGCCAACAGAGTTTCCTGGAGAAGGTAAAAGCTTCATGTCACACCAGCCGGATTCAAAATCGAAGTCGCACTGAAACGGAAGTTCCATGGCAGGCGGTAAAGTCGACAGAGGTGGATTTGTTGTCGTCCGGATTGGTGCTAACAAAAATGTAGAAATCGATTCAAGGTCAATATATTTTTAGGTCACCTGAGTAAACTGAGTGACCTATTGCTATCCGTTTTCGTCCGTCGTCGTGCGTTAACATTTGAACATTTTCAGCTTCTTCTCTGCAACCATTGAACCAGTTTTAACCAAATTTGACATAAACCATCTATGGGTGAAGGGGAACAAAAATTGTGAATTTCATTATCCCTGCCCCCCTGGGGCCTGAGGGGTGGGGCCAAAACCACTAAAATTAATGCAATCTTTAAAAATCTTATTCTTTACTCCTGCACATCAAGCAGTCGAACTGTTTGCATGATTGTAATCAGCATTGAGTCCTCTACCAAAATTATGAAATTCATGGCCCTGGGATCAGGGGTCCTAGTGCTAGGGTGGGGCTAAATAAGTATATAGTGAAAATGCATTAATTCTTTGAAAATTTTCTTCTCTACTCCTGGGTATTGAATAAACTAATTAAGTACATAGTTATGATGAGCAAGAGTGCCTCTTCCAATGTTGTGAATTTTATGGCCCAAGGGTCAGGGGTTCTGGTGTTATGGCGGGGCTCTATTGATTATATAGTGAAAATACATGAATTCTTTGAAAATCTTCTCAGCTCCTATGTATTATATAAACTAAGTACATAGTTATGATGAGCAAGAGTGCCTCTTCCAAAATTGTGAATTTTATGGCCCCAGGGTCAGGGGTTCTGGTGTTAGGGGGCTCTATTGATTATATAGTGAAAATACATTAAATCTTTGAAAATTTTCTTCCCTGCTCGTGGGAATTAAGCAGATGAACTACCTATATAGTTATGATGAGCAAGGGCCCTTCTTCCAGAATTGTGAATTTCAAGGCCCCAGGGTCAGGGGTACCATAGAGGAGGTGGCTCTACTTATATACTAAAAATGAATGAATTGTTTTAAATCTGCTCCTTGGTATTAACATTCTTTGTGCCGCGGGCCTATTTTGGGCCTATTTTCAAATACTACGTTAAGTGCCACGGGTCTATTTAGGGCCTACCGTTAGCTCATTTACGTCACAAGTAAAACTGATTATGACGTTACGTCGTCATTCCGAGTGTCGCGCCATTTTGGCCTCTGTTACAGGAAACAGTTATTTTGCCTTTCTTCTACAGAAAAAAATATATGTAGGAAGGAATGTTAAACAGGTATTTTTTGTCTTGGTCATTAGAAAAGGAAAATAATACATTCTGATTTGAAATTAACAACTTTGTCAGTATTTTCAATCCTCGTTTAAACCGGCAATACACACAATCAAAATTCCATTGGGAGGAAAAAAAATATTCAGCGTATCTTTAAAACGGGAATAATTTACCATTACTCATATTTTAAAAATACTTACTGTTTTGATCGTAAAAATACTATATTTATAGTAATGCTATCATTTGTAATGTATGATTTTTTAAAAATCATTTATCGTCATGATATGTTATAAAGTTTAACATTGTTACATTAAATCCTTGAAGGGCTTTTTAACGGACTATAAAAAAGGTTTAAAGTTTCATCCTCAGGAGCAGGACAAAGTAAAAGGGTTTATTTCACAAATGTCCAGGCACGTAGCATCGTTTTTGGAAGTGAGGGAAAATTAATTATACTTACAATAAAATGTTCCTGTAAAAAGTGACACTCAAAAAAACAAAAACAAAAAGGGGGGAATTTGCCCAAACTCGAAAATCCTATTTCGTGGGGAGTGGGGGTGGGGTTAGTGTTAAACTTTTTTCAAGGCCAAGGGGAGGGGGACGGCCTGATGTCACATAATTAAAAATTCCACGAGACAAGGAACTTCACAGAGAAATCTTCAGATTTGGAATACATGTTGTTTTGCAGTGCATGACATCGCCAATTGCCGGAGAAGACCGCTTATGTCCTGTCCAATGAACAATTACGGCTCTTTTTCTGCAAGAAACGACTATGGCATTGAACCTCTGCATCATGCATGCATGTTTATAATTATGTTTCCATTCTATTGTTCAAAAGACCAATTAAAGATCAAAAAAAGAGATTAAATCTCTTTTAGGCACGAACCATCAATTTTAATTGTCGGCAGGGCAAGGGGGGGGGGGGGGGGGGGGGGTTAGCCGTTGAAAGAATTTTTTCGCTGGCTTCTCCTGTTAGATCATATCTGACTTTTAAATTAATAAAAGAATTTAGGCAGGTATTTACAATCAAAGGGCAGGCAAGATATTATGTCTGTGGAAGTTGGCACAAGTACCCTAACCACCACCCGCGGGCAAATACCATTAAGATCGTGATTTTCTCGAGATCTACTGGTAGTAATATATATATATATATATTTTTCTTACAGCTATGCTAACGATTTTTTTTTTTTGGTGAAAATCAATACACTGTATTTAAAAAATATAACTACTGTACTACGAGATTAAATTATTACAGAAGGAAATGCCCATGATTTAATTTATAAAATCTGTAGAGAAATAATTAATATATTTTATACACCTAAACATTTAAACCTCTTTATTTGATTGAATCAGATTACATCCGAGTTTCCGGTCAAGGGCGAAAAGACATAAAAAATACGAAATAACTTACACTGTACGTCTTAGTCGTGTATTCCAGGTTATAAATTTTAGGAACACAATAAGATTATGTGACAGTATTAAAATACCAACATATAACAATTTAAGGATATCCGATCCTCAGCCAGGAAGGATAACTCCAAAAATCAATATTTAATTTGAAATGCATCAAAATGAAGCTTGAAAATAATTTTTTTTCATGCAGCAATTTTCATTTTATTCATCTTTATAAGATTCAATGTTTTTGGAAGTCTTAGAAAAGGTCTTATAAAAGTTGACATTTGTACCCTATAGTAGGGGAAAATGATACAGTTTTAGAGAATAAGATTTTCTTTAATCCAGGCTTAGATACCAATGCTTGTTAACATGATATGAAATAAAAAGTGATTTGTTGTGTCTTGCAATGATAGCAAAAGCCTTTTACACTATGTACTATATATATATATATGACGAAAATAGAAGACAAAAAATACCAAATAAGTATAAAAATCGTGACAATTTCTCTGAATGCGTGGATACCTATCATTTTTCAACCTAAAATACAATTTGCAATTAGAAAATGCATTACTGATATTCAAATTCCCTTTTTCTGCAAAAATATTGCAGATTTGGCAATTTTTCCTATATAATATGATTAACTTTAATCTTTAACTTTAAAGAAATACTGTGGACAAATTTACATAACTTCGTGGATTCAGAGATACTTTTATGAGTATTTTTGATTGGGTACCTGTAAAGTGCGAAACGAAATAGAAACGAAACGAAACGAACTGAAACGAAACGAAATCTGCCGAAACGAAACGAAATCTACCGAAACGAAACGAAACCTACCGAAACGAAACGAAATCAAGACGAAACGAAACGAAACGAAATCAAAACGAAACCTGCCGAAACGAAACGAAACAAAACTTTTAGAATGTTTATATGGTCTATTTTTTACTTCATAAGAAATTTATATAGTTCAAGCACCACAGGCAATTGTTTCGCTTCAAGTTCCTACATAGGCGTCGGAAGGAAATTGAAAGTTGGGGGGGGGGGGGGGGGGGGGGGGCTTAACCAACAAAAAGGTAAACTCCAGTTTCCAATGCCTATGTAATATATATCTTTGCAAGAAAGTGGGGATGGAGGCTAACCCCTCCTCCCCGCCGCTTCCGACACCTATGTCATATTTTTTAATATCTTACTGAATAATTTACCTACTTAAAAATGACATCGTTCGCTTCGAGAGACTTTTTACTTGTCAGTTAAATAGTTTAAGACGTCTATGGTCAAGCCTCTTTATTGCAAACCACTCCTTTCTTCCTCCAAAATTACCTCGATAAAAATAGGACCGTATGTACGTAGAAAGGATACACAAGATTTCGGTTGGAGTTACATGTATAATAGAACAAAAAAAAAAAAACCAGACACCTTGGAATGGAATACTTAATACTCTAGGTCTCTGGTTTATCCTATGTTTTAAGACATTCGCAATACAACAGTACAGTGACTTTATTTCGACCCGTACATAAACGAGCCTTTACATGTAACACATCAATTTTGATAGATATGTTGAATCTAGATAAATAAGGACTGAAAATAAGAATCAGATATAAAAATTAAAAAATAATGCACATATTGAAACTATACATGCATAGTACGCTCGTGCATATTTGCAGCTTGCAAACACGTAAATGCATCATTAGACTAAGAAGGGAGCATAATTTATCGGTAATTAAATTTTATATTAACAAGTGCTTGAAGTATATGAATTTTATTTGAAGTAAAAATAAAAGTCCACATGTAGTTACACATTTATGATTATATACATGTACCTTGATTAAAAAAAAACATTTTGATAGTGTTGTTTCGTTTCGTTTCGTTTCGGCAGGTTTCGTTTTGATTTCGTTTCGTTTCGTTTCGGTAGGTTTCGTTTCGTTTCGGCAGATTTCGTTTCGTTTCAGTTCGTTTCGTTTCGTTTCGTTTCTATTTCGTTTCGCACTTTACAGGTACCCTTTTTGATTAATTTAACGGCTAATTTTATAAACCTGAGGATCGGACTACCTTAAGTGGTTCACTGAAAGGAGTGGGTGTGCAAAGGAGGGGGTATTTTTTTCTGAGTTTAGTTTGTTTAACAGAAAAATTTTTATTTAGATGCCAGTTGCACCCCCCCCTTCACAAAAAAGTAAGATCTCACCCTACCCCATGACACACATACGCACGAAATAGGATTTTTGTGAACAATTTGGGGATTTTTTTTGGGGGGGGGGGGTCAGATTTTTCTGTAGAACCCCCCCCCCCACCCCGATCGACCTTTAAACCATTTCTACACGGCGCGTTAGTTGCAGAACTGTAGCTCTCAGAAAAAAAAATGTTTTGACAGACCGTTCTATCAATATGTATTTTTCGGAGAGCTATAGTTCTGCAGGTATGGGCGGGATACATTTGATATACATGTATTAATTAGGTAAGCTCTTTATGTAAGGTCTACGTTAAAAAATATGTATTATGGTGTACAGTCAGAAATGAAGGAATGAAAAAGTACGATAGAATTTACAAAGATAAATCACGAAAACGTATGAATAGTTAGTAACATGTATTTATAACTGTGTTTCAATTACACTGCATTTGTACATATTTAATTCTACTCGTATTGCGTTCATTATTATGCAACATATATATATGATCCACAGGTTCTTGATGTAACATAAAATTATTTTTTTCCTATTAAAAAATAAAAACCTACGTACCTAATCTACTGAAAATATATTATTTGTGCATAAATTTTGCTTGTATCGTTTCGTTTTATATAATTTATTCTTTATTGGATTCATTGTCTGTCTATAAACCATTTTGTACAAAAAGTGAAAGGCGTAAACGTTTTTATACCTTTACCTTCTTTGTTTATGACGTCACAGTAACGTTACGTCATAGATTTAACGTAATAAAAACTGTCACGGCACTGTACGTAATTTGAACTTCAAATCTGTACGGCAGCGAAAAGGTTAATCAAATATTTTTGAAAAGCAAGGATGCCTTTTCAAAAATTGTGCAACGTGTGGACCTAGGGTCAGGGGTTCATGTGTGGTAGGGGCACTACTGATTATTGCTGAATATTACTGATTGGTTGAAATGCATTTTTTTGTTCCCCTACCCTGCTTATGGGTATTAAGTAACCAAACCAAGCAATTGCTAAGTGTATAGTTATGATGATCAATGGTGCCTCTTTCAAAATTGTGAATGCCATAGCATTTGGCTTAAAACATGAACCAAATTCAATCCAATCACTGGAAAGTTGTTGCATGATGCTCAGGTGACCAATAAGGCCCATGGGGCTCTTGTTAAAAAGTTATATTCCGCAGAATTATGTCTGTTTGTATTGACTATGTACAATGAATTTTGTGTCACGTTAAGTCTATCGTCGCAAACCACAACTAAAATACAAGATCTCTCATCTCAAAGAGAGGAAAATGAGGACTTTGAACCATGGCTTGAGACGAATACAAAACTAATACACGGAAAATTTTGTTCAAAACGTATTTATATCATCCCCAAAAGCGATAATGCACTGTAAATACTCACATATTTCTATGTCGTCAACAGCCAAATCACTTCCATAAAATAAACGCGCAGTTGCCTCGAAACTTATCTACAAAGAGTCATGGTTAAATGCAAACCTTAAAAATATGAATTCAAAAATCAAAATTCAAATTGCATACATTAAATTGTTTGAGAATCATTACCACAAAACTTCCTCGAGGTAAATTTACTGTGGCTTGAATCCATTCTCGACCTTGTCTTCCTTTCCTTCTCCAAAGTTCTGTCTTTGAGCCATTGCCATCAATTTTATTCAAAGTTAATATACCAATACCAACTCCATTCATAAAATACCAGAAGGATAATTGCAAATCTAAAGAAAACCAAAATAATCGATTAAGTTGCTTGAAAAATTTATGAACATTCTTGCCAGTGAAAGAAACTGTTTATTTTACCGGAAGTGACGTCAATATTCGCCTCTACCACAGCTTTGATGGAACTGTTCATACGAGCATCTATTCCCTTGATAAAAATGTAGCTGCCATTGCTGTCTGCAAGGTAAATCGTATTTTCAAAAATGTAAAATAACTCAAGTTTAAAATAAGACGTGTCATTAATCATTTATTTTCAAGTATGCAAATGCTAAAATATTTTTTTAAGAAGGAGGAAGCATTTCAACAATGTTAATCTTTCTTTCTAGAAACAATAACTGCCAATATTAATGAAGACATTTACTTCAGATGTGTATAAATCAGAACTTGATTTTGCATTTTCACCCTTGATTTTGCTTTTCAAAAGAATATGAAGCATTTTGATTTACATTTTGTTGTGTGGTCACCGACTGGTCCGGATGATCTATCAGGCGTTGATCCGTTCCCAAGATGCCACTGGAATCCTTGAGTGCTGTTCTGAGGTCGCCACTGACACCAGCCATTATCAAATGTACACGATGGTTGTAATACTGAAAATTTTACAACATTCATGATATGTACATGATGGTTGTAATACTGAAAATTTTACAACGTTCATGATATACGTAATGTTTTTAATACTGAAATTTGCATGATGGTTGTAATGCCGAAAATTTTACAACATTCAATATATGCATGATTTGTGTCATTGCATGTATAGAAAATCTTCTTAACGTCAGAAGTACTTATTGAGTTCAGCGTCCTGTGGCCCAGTTTAATTTCTGTTGGTTACTTACATGATAAAGTTGATAAGTGTTATATAACTCTAATAATTTTTATCATCTATAGTAATCAAAAGCGGACGCGATAACCCACGAAGCAAATAAAAGGATTTATATGGTACAAGGTCGGTTGGTTACCTTACAAAGGGATGAGAGAAAGTTGCAGAACATTTCATTTTTTAGTATTCATTAATTAAGAAAGGTGGATGCTGGTGCTTTCGTTCCATTATTGTTATATTACATGTGCATACATTTATGTAATGTAAATGTAGGCTTGTTTGTTGAACTTTCAGCTATATGTATCGTTGGACAATTGGCTTGATTTCTAGCTTGATTTCAATTTGGTAGTAATCTCATTTGTCTTCACCTTGACTCCATGAAGCTTGCCCAAGCTAAAACATTTCACAATGTACTTAAAATACACAGTTCGGTCCTTCGTTCATTGATGGCCATGACATAAATAAAACTCATCACATGAAGTTACATATTACACCCGTTTGCCACTAATATCTTCAAGGAGTTCCTTATTGTACAACCTTGAGATCTGATATGCAATAAGAGTGTGCCTTGTGTCTCGCCAGTTCAAAAAGAGTTCAATTGTGATCCATTAGTGCACTTTAATGTGAACACGATAAAATGCCCTTGCATCTTACAAGAACTTTACGTCACATAAGATGCCCTTTATCAATAAGTCACTTCTAAGTTGAGTACTTATTTACAATCAATATGATAACCCTCTTGAGTAAATATGTAGGGAGTGGCTCCATTTGCTATGTAGAAAAAATATATTAATTATATTATATACGATGTATACTTTTTTTCAAATCTATGTCTCAATAAATATGACATTCGGAGTGCTCTTCAAATTCAAGGTTCAATCGTTCATTCGTTGATTTCCTTGACATTGAAAAAAAAAGAAATCTAGATTGAGTGGTATTCTTAAACTGATTAAAATTGAAAAAAAAATAAATTGGAAAATGATCCATCTAGATATTTCTTCACTATAAATTTTGTAAGATTTTTCTATAATTCTAGTAACGATGACCTTTTTCTTTCACAAGACATTTTCAACAAGATCAACATGAGAAATATGGTACAACACAAAAGTTTTCCATGCACCTCATAAATAACAAATTGAATTTCGCATGTTCCTACTATGTATTCGTTCGACATTATGGGAATGAACGTGGTTGATGTTCTTGATAGTGAACCCTTTGCATCTAAAAACATGTTTGTATTTCACATTAACCTTAAAACTGGAGTAATGAATGAAAAATCGTTTTAATCAGTAGCAAGCGTACCTCAAGGGTAACCCTTATCACATTAACTATTGACTATATGTAGAATTAATCAATGGAAACTAAACCAGGGAAAGTGAAATTTCAACTTTATTTGAAGTGAAAACATTTGTTTTATTTTCCTTTTGCATGCTGAACAAATAACTTTATATTCAAGGCAAAGAGTGATAATTTTTTGTTCTAGAACAGTTCAGTGCAGATAGGGTTTGTGTGTAAATTGAATTATTTTTACATCAAAATATTATTCATCAACCAAAGTGAATATTGATAAATGAAATTAAAAATGGGAAATCTCTAACATAATGTACATCGCTAAAATGCATATATTATACGTGGATATCCATGAAAGTATAAGTAACTCCAAAGTCCAAAAATAATAGTTGGCGGTATCAAAAGAAAACAGAGATAGATATTTCAAAACCTTACATGAAGAGATGCGCCTACCATTTTTGATCAGCAAGGTTCTTTTTCTTTCTTTTCTTTTTTAATGATCAAATAAGTAAACATTTAAATTACTTTGTGGATGAATATCAATAGGCATTCAATTTTGAAAGATAATACAGTATATTTGAAATATTTTATCTTTTACATACTGTCAAGGTTTTACAAAACCAAGTGTGTTTTCGTCCTCGCTGGCCAAGGGATTTTGTTGTTGCGTAAATGATTATGTTTTTCTACGAATTAAATGTGTACTGCTTATAAGTTAAGTTGATTAAATTAGCACTGGTCAAATTTCGGCCAAAGGTCAGCCCATTGATAAAATTTTACTACTGAATCGTACGATTCACAGAGTCGAGCTTATCACTTTGAATCGTGCCATGAATGGACATCGCTTTAAAATGTATACATGATATATGCATTTAAAATGGCTGCTATTTTGTACCATTTATACTTTTGTTCTACATTCTACATACTTGTAGAAAGCAAAAATAATTAAAAACGAAATAATAAATAATTAAGTCAAGCACCCACCCCCTTCTACCTATTTTCACAAAGCATTCGTAAAAAAAAATTACTTCTTTTCTTGGATATTAGATATTAGAATGAAAACTTTATTTTTGAAATAAATGTATGAATAAGAAATCTTATTATGCAAAACATCAAATGAAGAAATTTTTTGACGTGAGAACTTTGATATACATGTATTGGATCTCATAATAATAAATCCTTTAATTTTAACAGAAACATTGAAGAAGAAAGAATCTATCACTTCAAAAGGATATACCCCGTACTTTTAAATGTAGATCACAATTTTTTTTTTCGAAAATTATCTTCTAAAAGTAAATGATATCTTATCAACGATTCAAAATTAAATGGAAAAAAAAATTCATAATTTATACAAAAGAGATTTCCCCCATAAAAAACAAATGAATAGTCGTATAAAAATTTACCTGTAGCTACCGTGTGGTCAAGAATATGGACTAATACCAGGAATAACGTACTACATCCAACTGACCACATCCTCGCTATAAATTCTTAGTACAGCTCCCGCTGTTCTCAATAGGAGTTAGTTTTAATAAGTTATCACATCAATATTTGAGTATTTGTTCAATGAGATAACAACAAAGTGATCGGGTCCTTAAAAAATCACGCGTAAGGGGCGGCTGTTTCAACAGAACATGCGGTGTCCCCCTCCTATCGCCGCCACGTCCCCATGTCTCAAGTCGGGGAGACCAAAGTGCCAAGTTCCCAAGCTTATCTGACCGTTCTAAGTTTTGAATGGAGGAGTGCCTTTTAATGCAGAGTACGAGGGGATATAGTGAAACGGGGATTGTAGTAAACCAGTCTTAGCCAGATGAAATAAGTATTTGATTTGCTTTGATAATTAATTACGTTAGGAAAAACTTATAGGAAAATGGAAAGCATGATATAAAAAAGGAGAGTGAGTTGGGGAAATTATGTTTTCTGAATAAATTCCTGATCAATAATATTTGAGTTGTGGTCCCCTCACAACCCCAACCCCTCTCTCAAGAAAAATAGTAGTACCGGTAATATAACCATGGATCTTTATTTGTGTGGTTCGAACTTCAAACTATACTTTTCTGGAGATTAAAAAATTCAATTTGATATACCATCTGTATTCTTGCCATGTTTTTTTTTTTTTCTGCTGAATATTAAAACCCTGACTAACATCAAAATTATACATACTTAAACTAAAACAAAAGTCATTTCTCTATTTGATTGTGTATACACAAGTAATCTAAAGAAGTGGATATAAAAAGTGTTTCTGATTGACAATATCTATGTAGTTTTTGGACACATGGACACTAAAATTGGTACTGAAAGACGTTCGACTCCCCCCCCCCCCCCCCCCGGACATTGGACTTTCCCGTGTTACATTGGACTTTTCTTTTCTTTTCCTTTCCTTTTTTCTTATTTTTTTTTTTTTGCTTGTCAAGTTTTATTTTTAGGTTTTGAATTTTTTTCTCTTTCACTTAGCCCCCCCCACCAAACTTTCAATTTGCTTCCGTCGACAATGAACAATTTCTAAAACGAGACAAGCTATTGACAAACAGTTGATTTACCAAGAATATCAACAGTCTCGTTTTAAGTCATCGTTTTGCAAGTTGTATGATCAAATTCATGCTTACTAACATTTTTTAAGCTGTCAAGTTGTTAATTCCTGAATTGTGAACGAATTTTCTTGATTTTCTCGAATATGGCAAAGAGTATTCGACGGATGTGACCAGTTGGTAGAGGATGATTACTCCTCCATGGCATCTGATCCCACATCTGATGTTTAACATGTAGAGGTCCGTGTTTGCTCTGCTCCCATTACTGTTTGAATGGCCTTAAGCAGTGTTAAGAGTCTCAATATATTTTATTACTCAAACTTCTTAAATGGTACAAATTGCCAGAAATCGACCTTTCAGCATCTTTTAAGGGGCCTGCATCTAAGAATTCATAGTAAAACTACGACAAAATACTATTCGAAGTAAAGTTTGGGACTGCCATCCCATCCCCCAATTTCGCGGGGAAACTCCTGTCGAAATACAAATGAAACATTCAGTTAGAAGGGTGGCAAGGGTAGGGAAAAAAATCTATTTAAATACAATGCAGGATTTTTAGATTGAGTCTGGTCCCCTTCTCCGTTGTAATGAATGAAAGTCAGTAGGTGAATGTAAACGTGAAAGTATGTCAATTTCTTTATCTATGTGGGTTCTATACATGTATAATATCTGTTTACATGTTTATCGATATATGTCAACGTGATCGCTGGCAAAAAGCAAGCCGTTTTCATTCAGCTGATTAGAATTATTAATGTCGGTTTGCCTGACAATTTATCTTCTAATTGAATACTAAGACGTCGATTTTTTTTCTTTATTTTTAACTTGTCTTCTGGCCATCTGAAGGTTAATGAGAATGTTTATAAATGCATGTTTGTTTGAAAATATTAGATTCTGTTTTTCAAATGGAGTTATTGCCCTTTGTCTCTAAAACGGCTTTACTAGACCGAGTTTGTTACTCTCTTTAAATTGCCTGATTAAAATCTGACATCCTTTGTCTCAGATCTTTCTAATTACATTTCTTTCTGCTTTAATAATAAAATACCTATATGATATTATTGTGAAGATAAACATGAGAGAGAAAGCATCTTTAAAATTTGTCAAAAATGAATACACGTTATAAAAAAGAGCGAAAATGATACATAATGAATTTTTTTTATTAATAAACCTTTGTCAAACTTCTAATCGTTTGATAACTTCTCGAGATTTACTCGGATTAATGACTAGATTATCTGAGAATATCAAATTGCCATACACATTGGTGGCTTTAGTATTGTGGTTTATAATGTCTGATTCTGAGGCAGAAAAACTGCTTTCGGAACTTTCGGAAGATTGTGCAGCATTGGATAAAGTGAAAGACATCCAGGTATTCACATCCTGGTCAAGGTCAATATCGCCATCACTAGACAGAGTTGAATTTCCGGTGTCCATGACCCAATCATTGATGTCGGGATCACGTGACTGATGAAGAGATTCGATTAAGTTTTCTAGTTCTGTTTCCATTTCACGTTCGTACGAACCAGTGTAGGAAGGGGGTTCTGGCACATCGTTATAAAACGCCTCAGTATTTAAATCGACAGTCGATGTATCAAAAGTGTCCATTGAGAAACTTGTCTGTGTTGTCGCTTCCACCATTTCATTCGGAGCACTCTCAAATACTGAAATTGACCTTTTAATGGAGGTTATTTCCTTATAGGTACCACTTGAACTTGACGCAGAACTATGTCTGTCAATGGTAGAATATGAACTTTTAAATTCTGGAATGGTTTTAACTTTAGCAGACTCTTTTAATTGCGCAGTGCAACTCGTAGTTCTTACTTTTGATACTCGTCTAGCGTCTAAATTAGGAATGTCACAGATGAGACTTGTAGCATTGGGGTCATCCCGAAATTCTTCCTTGGGATTAATAATGGAGGAAAGCGTAAATGATGAGACTGGAAAAGACAAAGATCTTCCCCACTTTGGTCTCTGATATGACGATGTGATTTGAAGATACGACAAATCGAGATCGGGAGATTCGTCCACAGTTCGAACATTGTCCAAAAGTTTTTGCAAAGCGTCTTCGCGACGTGGACATTCAGCATCACTGGGGTGGTTACAGCGTGTTGCAGACTTCCGGTCGATTCTCACCTGGATTTCCGTGGTGACCTTGTCGATGTCGTTAATGAGACATTGAAGATCCTTGACCATGGAATCGAGACTCTGTTGAAAGTCCTCCATATTTTGTATGACGTGTCTCACCATTTCTCTCACATAAGTGTCGGTTTGACCGTTCATGCTAATCTATTCAACAGTATTGGCTGATAACCTTACATGTCGTGGATCAATCTATAAAACAATACAGGTGATTACAAGTTCGTTAAAAAATAGAAGAAATACTAGACTAAGTATTGTCAAATTAGAATTCTTTATAAAGCTGATTTGCAATACAGGTAATCAGATAAAATCATTGTAGTCAGGTGTAATGTCACCTTTACAGGTAAAAAATTAGAATGATCAAAGAAACAATGTACGTAAAATTGTTGGGCAAATGTTTCTACAGGCCACAAAATGTCCCTCAGTATGAAAAAAGGATCGCAGTCTGACTGAAAATTTTCAATCCACAATAATTCTGCATGCAACTTTTTTTTTAATGAAAAATGCCCTTCAGTGAATATTTAAAACTCAATAAATGCATCTGACACAATGTAAAGAAGTTGCATCGTATAATTTTATAGGTCTGGAAATTTTCTAATCGATGCTTACTAATCTAAAGGTTTATTTTCAGATTTGTTTGGAGTTTGATTAAAACTATTTTGGCGCAAAAGATGTCCTACAGCAAAACGTCATTTTGTATCAATGATGAAATATGGACAATGTCTAGTCTTATTATGTTAAAACTTTAAATAATGGGCAACTGCAGAATAATCAATATTAAAGGCATCAGAAGAATAAAATTCATTAAGAACATTGTGGATTGATTAACAAGCAATCTCCTCCCTTTTAAAGTTTTTCTTAAAGATTTTATCAGAAGCTGCTTACATGTAAAATGCAAAATAATTTAAAAAATCGTACCAACTACCAAGTTATTACACCATCTTTAGAGTCATGTGCTCTATTCCGGAACTTTTTAGTCATAACGGACAATAATTGCTTCCATTCATATTCGACACGATATATCCTAGGCAGTGAGCTTGAATTAAAAGATACAAGAGTCTGACACATCTGTTTCATATTAGGAGTATTTTACTTGAAAATGACGTTAATGGTAATCTAACAACCAAGCTTTATGATAAAAGTGATGATTTAAACTTTCCAATCATCAACTTCCCTTACCTCTACCGCAATATACCTTCATCACCTAGTTCTATAAAACTTTTTAAGTGTTTATTTGTAAATGTTAGAGTGTACATCTGCATATGGGGTTTATATCTCCCAAGTTGATTCGATACGCAAGAGCATACTCTACGCATCGAACAAACTCTAAAACGAGGCAATTTATTGACAGACAAGTTGATGAAACAAGAATATTAACAGTCATTATTTCCTAAGTTCTATGATCCATATAATGACCTTATCAGCAAATATAATCTATCATTAAGTCAATGCTGACTCTCATTTTTCATACTAAATTGTTAGACCATTATTTATACACCGAATTGTCGACAGATTCTCGTAAAGTCCCTGACCATGACAAGAAGCTTACTGCGGATGTGACCGGTCGGCAGGGATGCTCACTCCTCCATTGCACCTGATCCCACCTCTGATGTTTTAGAGTCCTTGTTTTCTCTGCTCTTCATTTGTATTGTTTGAGAGGACTTTTTAGCTTGTAAACTGTTCGTTAACTCCATACATTAATTTAACGACTTTTCGGCACCAAAAACAATACAAAAAATTATTCCAAGATATATTTTTGACAAATCGTAAAACTAAGTAACAATGGTGGTAACGGTGCTATATTCTCCCCTAGCTGGTTGTTCTAAATCGATGGGAGGAAAGATTTATGGGTGTAATGTGCTAACCTAATTAAGAAACCCACAGGCCCGCAACTTATTCCGTGG